CCACTCCATCTCCACAAAAAATTACAAAAAATTAGCTGGGTGTGGTGCCACGTGCCTGTAGGCCCAGCTACTCAGGAGGCTAAGGCAGGAGGATTGCTTGAGGCTGGGTGGTTGAGGCTGCAGTGAGCCATGATCACAACACTGTACTCCAGTTTAGGCAACATAGCAAGCCCGTGTCTCAAACCGCCCCTGCACAACCCCCAAAACAGAGCCCCATCTCTACAAAAAAACAAAAAGGAGTTTGGGGGTAGATTAGCGTGTAGTTATTTCTTTATGCAAGCTCATGGGTGACAGGTGCAAATTTGGGGCATTCATATGAAACATGCAGTGGAAATTCAGGCTGTGACGTCAGCAGACTCATTCTATGCAAAATCTAGTTAGCTAGTTTTCTTTTAAAATATGCTATCTTGTAAATTAAAGAGTGTTACTGTTTTTTAATCCTTTGGGGGCACAGTTTTAATTTTAGCTTTTAATTTTTATTTATTTATTTTTTTGAGATGGACTTTCACTCTTGTTGCCCAGGCTGGAGTACAGTGGTGCGATCGGGTTCAAGCAATTCTCCTGCTTCAGCCTCCTGAGTAGGGATTATAGGCACCCGCCACCATGCGCGGCTAATTTTTGTATTTTTAGTAGAGAAGGGGTTTTACCATGTTGCCCAGGCTGGTCTCGAACTCTTGACCTCAGGTGATCCACCTGCCACACCACGTGGACCTCACCAAAGATCTACTTTGTTGTCATTGATATGGCAGTAGTTTTCTCCCAGAGTTGTCCAAGAGAGAGCAAGGCAGAAGTGGCCATGTCTTTTAGGACCTAGTTGTGGAAGTCACACAGCATCACAGGTGCCCTATTCTACTGGTCACATGGACCAACCCTGATGCATTGTGGGAGGAAACTGCACAAGGATAATTAGGCGCCATCTTGGAGGCTGGCTACCACAGCCATGCTGGAAATAGTTAAATGAGGCATACAGAGAGGAGCCCTCTTTTTAATTGTTTTCTGCCAGCCAGGCTGTAGCACAGGACAAGAAGACACTTGAATGGCAGCGGTACATTCTCATCTTAGTCTGAAACCATAGTTTCCCTGTAAGTACAGGTATGAGAGATGAGTTGTCTTTTCAATCTACATAATAATATCCTGGAGGAATGGAATAATTCCCTTTCTTTTTTTTTTTTTTTTGAGACGGAGTCTTGCTCTGTTGCCCAGGCTGGAGTGCAGTGGTGCGATCTCCTCTCACTGCAAGCTCCACCTCTCGGGTTCACACCATTCTCCTGCCTCAGCCTCCTGAGTGGCTGGGACTACAGGCGCCCGCCACCACGCTCGGCTAATTTTTTTTTTTTTGTATTTTTAGTAGAGACAGGGTTTCACCGTGTTAGCCAGGATGGTCTCGATCTCCTGACCTCGCGATCCGCCTGCTTCGGCCTCCCAAAGTGCCGGGATTACAGGCATGAGCCACCACGCCCAGCCAGAATAATTCCCTTTCATAGCTAAGCTCACCACCAGTCAGAGTAGGCACTCGCACATATGATGAGGTGGGGACACAGCCTCACAGATCATGGTGACAACAGAGTTAATGGAAAGATGGCTTTGAAACCACATCTTTGAAATTCTGACTCTTCTTTGACAATTAGCTTTGTGAGTTTGGATAAATTAAGCTGAGGGAAATAAATCTATCTTATGGAGCTGTTTTTATCCCCCCAAAACGATAATTACAAGCATCCTTGTATCTTTCTATCCTTTGAGAACCTATTGTCATCAGTTAAAGGTGCGGGTTACGATGACATATACGGGTATCAGTCTCACCAGCAGGTGATCATGAAATCTTCCTCTCGAAGACTAAGATTTAGAATTGTCAAGGCCGGGCACGGTGGCTCACGCCTGTAATCCCAGCACTTTGGGAGGCCGAGGCAGGTGGATCACGAGGTCAGGAGTTGGAGACCAGCCTGGCCAACGTGATGAAGCCCCATCTCTACTAAAAATGCAAAAATTAGCCTGGCGTGGTGGCGGGCGCCTGTAATCTCAGCTGCTCAGGAGGCTGAGGCAGGAGAATCGCTTGAACCCAGGAGGCGGAGGTTGCAGTGAGCCGAGATTGCGCCACTGCACTCCAGTCTGCGCGACAGAGCAAGACTCCATCTCAAAAAAAAAAAAAAAAAAAAAGATTTAGAAATGTCATCTACTCTACCGTACTCCAGGAGCTAGCTCCCGTGTCCCACATCTAAATCTTGTCTTATTCAGTGATTCTAGGCCATCAGTAGAGATCTCAGCACGATGCTTTCAACTTGTATCCTTTGGGCTCTCTGGTTGTCAGCTCTCGCCTCAACAGACTTTCGTGTACACCTATGACCAGCCCTTTATATCCACTGGTGGTGGCTGGGTACAGTGGTTCGTGCCCATTATCCCAGCACTTTCGGAGGCCAATGCAGGTGGATCTCTTGAGCCCAGGAGTTCAAGACTAGCCTGGGCAACATGGCAAAACCCCGTCTCTATAAGAAATACAAAAATTAGCTGGGCACGGTGGTGTGTACCTATAGTCTCCGGTACTTGGGAGGCTGAGATGGGAGGATCAGTTGAGCCTGGGAGACAGAGGTTGTGGTAAGCCAAGATAGGGCCACTGCATCCAGCCTGGGCGACAGAGCGAGACCCTGTCTCAAAAAATAAAAATAAATTAAATCCACTGGTGGTAGAGAAAGATGAAACAAACACCACTTCTGTAGGGAATTTGGTTCTACAGGGCAGGTTCGTTTCAGTGGGAATAGCTGGGATAAGTTAAAAAATGGATCTAATGGAGTCTGTATCTTCACTCTGAGTCTCTGCAAGTGAAGATTCTCTTCCTCCTTGTTGATGGCTTGACTGTGATGTAATCAAATTTCCAGTGTTTTCAGGATGGTAATTTAGTGACTTTATGGGTGCTCTGTACCATCTTGCGTTTCTATTTGGTCAGTGATCACAGGGACTCTCCTTTCTCTTCCGCCATTCTCTAGTATTTAGACGAAGACCAGACGAGGTAGCTCTCAAAACTAAATCTGACCCGATGCTTAACCTTGTTATCCTTTCCCTCTTCATCACTTTAAGGTCTTGATGTCTTGTCTTGAAATCTGAAAGGCCAGCAGCACCCACTTTTCTTTCTCATGTTTCTTGGCCTTAGGTCCCAGGTTAAAAAAAACAAAAAAACTCACTTAAGCATTTAGGTCTACAATTGCTATTTTTGGCCTGATCTAGCATTCTAGCCCTTCTGGAGGGGGAAGAAACATCCGGCCAGGTGATCCCCTGCTACTGAACAGCTGACAGCTGTTGGGAGAGGCAATCCACTATGAACCCCAAGCATCCTTGCACCTCCTGGCTGGATATGCCAAGAACGCAAGGTCCTGGCCATTTTTTTGAGAGAGTTCCACTCTTGTCACCCAGGCTGGAGTGCAGTGGTGCGATCTTGGCTCACTGCAACCTCCACCTCCCAGGTTCAAGCAATTCTCCTGCCTCAGCCTCCCAAGTAGCTGGGATTACAGGCGCGCATCACTGCGCCCAGCTAATTTTTGCATTTTTAGTAGAGACAAGGTTTCACCATGTTAGCCAGGCTGACCACTTTTTATGCTGGACATTCCTCAGCGTTGTCTGTAGTGAGCAGATAAGTTAATGTCTTTTTCTGGAACAAAGAGCAGCCTCACTGAGTGCTTGCTATAAAACAACAGGCTCAGCCGGGTGCGGTGGCGCACACCTGTAATCCCAGCACTTTGGGAGGCTGAGGCAGGTGGAACACCTGAGGTCAGGAGTTTGAGACCAGCCTGGCCAACATGGCAAAAACGCCATCTTTACTAAAAATACAAAAATTAGCCAGGCGTGGTGGTGTGTGCCTGTAATCCCAGCTACTCGGGAGGCCGAGGCACGAGAATCGCTTGAACCCGGGAGGCAGAGGTTGCAGTGAGCCACGATTGCACAACTGCACTTCAGCCTGGACAAAGGCTCCCCAAGCCTAATGTTCTTTTCCTGTAGCAAAACCCACTGCATGTGCAGGCATCCCTCCGGGCCCTTTGCATCGTACCTGTAGGACTTGGGTGCAAGTGTGAACTGACAGGCTCTTACTGCTTGCTGTGCTGTACTAAAGTCCTTTGTCTTTACCCCAGGAGTCTCATGAAATAACAGACCTACTTAATTAGCTTGCAAGAGGAGTACAAATCCCAGACCCTAATAAATGACCTTAAAATTGTGATATACCCAAATCACCTATTTTTCATTTTTACAATTTAAATGTTTTTTATAGCGACAGAGTCTTGCTATGTTGCCCAGGCTGGTCTTCCAACTCCAGAGAGCTCAAGTGATCCTCCTGCCTCGGCCTCTCAAAGTGCTGAGATTAAAGGCGTGAACCATTGCCCCTGGCCCAAATCACCTGTTTTTCTGATAGTAATCTGGCAATTTTATGAGTGTCTAACATTGTTTTCTATGTGGTCTTCAGAATTGCTAAGATATGAGGCAACCTATAAGCTCTGGGGTTGGCAAATTATGACCTACTTGTTTTTGAAAATAAAATTGTATTGGAACACAGTTACACACTTATCTATTGTCTATGGCTATCTTTGTGTTACAACAGCAAAGGTAAGTAGCTGTGATAGTGACCACATAGCCTGGCAGCCTAAAATACTGGCGTAGGTCTATTCCTTTAAGAAGTTTGCTGACCCCGTAAGAAGTCATTCCTCATCTAGAGCAATGGATCACATGGCAAACCACCTTTGAAGGCGAGCTTAGTCTGTTTCAAAGCCAGCCAAGGTAAGACTTTTTCTCCAAAGCTGTAAATACACAAAGATTTGTCAGGAAATATTTTCTACATGGTACTTCATTCAGGGGTTATCAATCAGTAGGGGCCATGTATGTAAGAGTTATACAGATAGAGACTATAGGATCTGACTAGAAAGCCCATTTCCAGTACTAGGTGAGTGATTAAAACCAACTGCATCAGAAGAAAGCATCTTGTCAAAATTACTATTTGTGAACTAAAACAAAGGACACATTCCCACTAGAACAGAAATAAATTTTAATTCATTGAAAAGTGCAGCAGTGAACAGGGTCCTTTTGAAGGGCACTTTCTAAGTCAAATGACTGAAATGACACAGAGCAAGGGCAGAATAGGAACAGAGGATGCAAACACAGGAAGTTACAAAATTCAGTGGGAACTAAGTGGTGATAAAACTCAAGAACCTAACTCTACCCATCTAATTCCACTGGTGGATCAGTTGAAATAACTTTTGCTTTCTTTAGTATGAATCCTGGGACAACTTTCCTTTAAAAAAGCACTAAACCTTAGTTTAGACACTTAATAAGTTTGAGAACACTTCTCACAGAATAAGGTAAAACTTCCATGGCCATCATGACTATTTTGTACAAGAGCCCTACTGTTGTCAATTACAATGTGTTTGCGGGCCGGGCACAGTGGCTCACACCTGTAGTCCCAGCACTTTGGGAGGTCGAGGCGGGTGAATCGCCTGAGGTCAGGAGTTCAATCAGCCTGGCCAACATGGTGAAACCCCGTCTCTACTAAAGTTACAAAAATCAGCCAGGCATGGTGGCGGGCACCTGTAATCTCAGCTACTTGGGAGGCTGAGGCAGGAGAATTGCTGGAACCCAGGAGGTGGAAATTGCAGTGAGGCGAGATCATGCCATTGCACTCCAGCCCAGGTGACAACAGCGAGACTTCATCTCCAAAAAAAAAAAAAGAGTGTTTGCAACAGCACCGTTTGTCAAATCCAAAGATGCTCAAAAGGTGTTCCCTACTTTGCATGAGAGGGAGAGTTCTGTAACAGGAAATCGTATAAGGCAAACTCTCTATTCATTCCTAAGGCCTCTGTTCATTCCTAATGTTTATAGGGTTCTCTATTCTGAAGGGCACCAACATGGACCTCACCTTCTTAACATGGAAAATCAAAATCTAAATGAATACAATTAAAAGGAGGAGGCAAGCTTCTTGCAGTGGGTCCCTAAAACATTATGAAAACATCAGTGCATTGTGTAGTCTGTTACGCTATCAACTGAGGTCTCTTTATGAAAGATTTTAGCACAGATTCAGAATGGAGCCAGTCCAAGAAAAAAAGCAGAATTGAAAGCTACTTGAAGGTTAGACAGGAAATATACCAAAAATAGAAGAGCGTAGAGACAGGGCCGCACCACACCCCACCAGGCAAGCTCACCCACTGAACTGAGCGTAAGAATGGCGTGGCAGAGGTGCCGTCAGCAGCTGACTATGTCACTCTTATGAGTTCTGCTCTTAGAAACAGCATAAAACTGAATAATCTGCAAATAACCAGCAAAAAACTGAATGACATCACAGTCCAAGACCTGGTAAGAGTTGGTTTCTTTTTATTTGGAAATAACTATGGTCAACTTTCATTAATGTGGAAGTTGACTGATTATGTTAAGAATCAAAGTGAAAAAGAAAGCCGATACCCATATTCAACAATGTAGTTTGCTTTTAGTTACAACATTTTTTGAATTTCCTCTTCTAAAACATTCACAGCAGAGGTGTCCATTTCACTTGCCTATTTCACCTCTAGATACCACCTCAGTTGCTGGGATCATGTGAGGTAAAGGAATAAATCCAATGGCTATTAGCCCAATATGACTATCTGCAATTCTGATAGAAAAGCTACTTTCAGCCATGTCTTACAAAGTGCTTAAAGCTGGACAGAAGACTTTAAATATAGCTAAAATCGCTTATTGCCTGAGTTGAACAAGTTGTAAACCACAGCTCTTCCTCCTCCCCTGCTGTCTCACCACCAATTAGCCTTCTTGTGAAGAAAACATTAGAAATGGAACTGGTTTTTGAGTCAAGAAACATAAAAATTTAGGTGTTCTCGGCCAAGCGTGGTGGCTCACGCCTATAATCCTAGCACTCTGGGAGGCCAAGGTGGGTGGATCACAAGGTCAGGAGTTCAAGACCAGCGTGGCCAACATGGTGAAATTTTGTCTCTACTAAAAACACAAAAAATTAGCCAGGCATAGTGGTGCGTGCCTATAATCCCAGCTACTCAGGAGGCTGAGACAGAATCGCTTGAACCCAGGAGGCAAAGGTTGCAGTGAGCTGAGATCATGCCATTGCACTCCAGCCTGGGTGACATAGCGAGACTCTGTCACCCCCCACCAAAAATAAAAAAATTTACATATTCTCAACAGTGAAGAAACCTGAATAGATTTGATTTTGACAGGGGGAATACTGATAATTAACAATATTCCAAAACTCAGGAAGAACCCATCTAAAAGGGGAGAAGGTAGGGTAAAGTAGTTGATACTTTGCACCAACTGTAAGAAAATTTTCCATCTTGAAACAAATGAAGAGAAAGGCAGAAAAATGCAGATTAGAGCCAACGACTTCATGCATGGAACTGAAATTCAAGCTCCCTGCTGGACAGGCACTTCCTTCCTTTATCCCCGGTATAGCCCTTCCACCTGTCTGTTCAAGAGCCCTGTCTTCAGAACACCCTATAAGAGACAACCCTCACCAACTCTTGGCAGTTCTTCCCTGCTGATGTTTCTAAGCCACTTTATTTTCAGATCTCAGAGGGGAGTCTCAAGAGAAGGGACCTTGCTCAATCCTTCCAGGGTTAACCGGCACTCCCTGTGGTTGGCAGCCACTGGAAAGTAGATGGCTATCACCTTCAAGAGCTATCTGGAATTGGCCTTTATCACAAGCTTACTGCTCTATTTCAGTGCAGCACCAGCCTAGAATTCCCAAAAACATGAACAGAGCTTGGGTGACATGTTTTGAATTTGCAACCTTACCACACTGTGATGAACATCATAAAAAAATGTATCTCTACTTCTCTATCACAATGGTACTTGTTCTTACTCGAATGATTCAGCTCTGATGGTTACTCTTCAAGCCATGTGATGTTACTATTTTTGATAGTGAAGTGCTCAATCTGAAATGCTACACAGGTCCTTTGATTTTAGGTCAAGCTTATATATCAAAAGGTGTATCTGTGTATCTGTGTGTGTATCTGTGTGTGTGTGTGTGTGTGTGTGTGTGTGTGTGTGTGTGTGTGTGTGTGTGTGTGTGTGTGTGTGTGTGTGTCCCCTAAAGTACTGCCATTTATCTGAATGGATTTACAAATTCAGACTTTAACCACATGAGGAATAATCAAGAACTGTGGCCCCAGGACAAAAAGAATATGGTGAGAGCAAAGACCTCAGGAGTGTCCTTATCAGCTGAAGGAAGAGACCAGAGACAGCCACTCCTGACACATGGGCAGAGTTCACAGTTTAACACATTGCACGAGGAAGTCAGCCGACTGGGCTGCTTTTTCAAACGGGACTTAAAGCCAGTCCAGAAACTCTTCCAGGTGTGGTCTTGAAGACTAGCTACAGACACCTACTACAATCACTTCATCAGAAAGAGGCGTGCAGGGATCCATCTGCAGAGGCTGTGTGAGGTCGCTACAGAAGATGTTTGGAAAATCTTCGAGTCCTGACACTGCCGCGGTTGCTGAACATGAGGCGGGGGTCAAACCTGTATCTGGGGAGGAAAAACCAAATGTAACATTAGCTCTCGCTAGTTTCTCACTCAGAATATTATTCAGTGGAAAGGATAGCACGAATTGGTGTAAAAGAAACAAATCACCAGAAGGGACTCTAGTGAGAAAGTCTATGGTACAAAACGTGAGCCCTCGACAGTTCCGAACATTTTCATCACCAGTCAGCACACACAAAGTCACACAGTGCAAGACAAGAGGAGAAAAACAAGTAGGTTAATCCTGAAAGGTGTCAGAAGGCAGCAAGATTTGAGATTTTTTTCTTTTGAGGGAGTAGGGGTGGATCAATTGTTGCATTATTATAGTGCTTGTGTTCAAGTCACCCTTATTTTATTTAATAATGGTTCCAAACCACAAGAGTAGTGGTGCTGCCAATTCAGAAATGCCAAAGAGAAGCCATAAAGTGATTCTCTTAAGTGAAAAAGTGAATGCTCTTGACTTAATAAGGAAAGAAAAAATCGTACAGTGAGACTGCTAAGACCTACAGCAGACTCACCATAAGCATGAGTCATTTTTGGTGGGAGGGTTGTCAGGGGGACAGAGTCACAGTCTGTCGCCCAGGCTGGGGTGCAGTGGCACAGTCTCAGCTCAATGCAACCTCCACCTCAGGCTCAAGTGATTCTCCTGCCTTAGCCTCCAGAATAGCTAGGAACATAGGCATGGCCACACCTGGCTAATTTTTGTGTTGTTTTTTTCTGCAGAGACAGTTTCACCATGTTGCCCAGGCTGGTCTAGAACTCCTGGGCTCATGTGATCTGCATGCCTTGGTCTCCCAAAGTGCTGGGATTACAAATGTGAGCCACTGTGCCCAGCCAAGAATGAATCTTCTATCTGTGAAATCATGAAGAAGGAAAAAAGAATTCTAGTTTGGCTGCCACACCTTAAACTGCAAAAGTTAGGGCCACAGTGCATGACAAAAGCTTAGTTAAGATGGAAAAGGCATAAAATTTGATGGTAGAAGACACGAATGGAAACATCTTCTGACTGATGGCAACTGGGCCTGGCACTATCCTTGGGGCTTCATGCATCCACTGTGGGTTCTGGAATAGATCCTCTGTGGATAAGCGTGGGACTACTGCATTTTAGAACAGCAATTGACCAACATTTTTTGTAAAGGGCCAGATAATAAATGTTTTAGGGTATGGGAGCCATACAGTCTCTGTCCCAACCATTCTCCTTTGCTGCTGAAGCACACAAGCAGCCAAAACCAGGTAAAAGAATGTGTGAGGCTGTGTTCCAGCAGGTGGGGATAGATTGGGCTCACAACATCTGATGACCCCATCTTGGAGGACTCAACAGGCCCAAATGTTTGATAGGAAAGGAATAATAAGGGCTAAGGTATTTAAAACGGAAAATCAGGTTAGGTTTAAGTTGTCCAGGCTAACATCAGCAAAGCCAGCATCTAGAACTTTAGTTATAAACTTCTAAAATGTGAGGAAGACAATTTGTTGCAGTTAAAAACCAAACAAAACTTGCTTAGGAAATAATGTATTCACTTCCTTATAGGGTGACCCTTGGGCAAATCACAACTGCAAGCTCAATTTCCTCATTTGAAATTTACTTTTTGGGCTCTAAGGGCTGTATGAAAATTCTATGAATTCTAACACTTAGAGCCAGATGTTCAGAAGAAACAGACAGCTGGCTGCATCCACCTTGCACTGGCCAACCAGCCAGGCAGGTCCATGTCCTAGCAGTGGCCTGGTCAGGGACTGTTTGGCCACACATCATAATCCAAGAGGTCCAGTTCCTTGACCCTCCATTTAAGATTTAGTCAGATGCTGGCTTTAAGTTCACAGAGTCAGCCAGAGAGTATATGGTTAAAAAGCATTAACTGCTATTGACATCTAACTTAATTTGGTTTAAAAGGACACTCTGAGCTAAGTAACTTGGAAATTGCAAAGTCAGCACATGTAAACTGGAAGTCTTGTGCTTTTATTTTCGGGACTGGACTTCCTCTTTCAGGTAACTCGTACCAAGCTAGGACCTATTTCACTAACTCAGAGGAAAGACCAAAGCGGGTGGTCAAAATCCATGACCATTCTTATTGTATTAATGGGATTATCCATATAAAAACAGTTATTTCGTTTAAGTGATATAAAATAATGATAAGTATTATCTCCTTATATTGGTATCTGGTTTTAGTTTACTGGTGTCCCTGCCACTTTGGCATTATATACATTATTTAAAAGCAAACAATGAATAGTCTATCATTGAGTTTTTCTACTCATTCACATTCATTTGTCTCTAATTTGGACTAAAGATAAAATTTAGTACAAAGATGGCTAAAAAAATTAAGTGATAACTTTCCATCAACTTAGGACATCATTCTTCCCTCTCCTACATTCTGAAGGTAAGAACTAAAATATTCCTTTCCCAGGGAAAGTTTGATTTTTAAACTTCATGATCTTCAAGGAAAAGATAAATAACAAGCTTCCTGCCACCAGCAGCTCCATGCATGGTGTACTGACACCCAGTGTTACTGCTGAAAACTTACTAAGAGGGACAGTGTGGGGAACAAATCTGACTTAACAGGTGATAGCTAAACATCCTTTATACCTCCACATCGTGCAGTGGGCTTATATTTCAACACCTGAGTTTATACCTTCTATTTTCATTGTGTGTTTAATATCTTAAATTCACCAGCAAACATTCAAGTTTCTGTAGTAGGGGTTTCTGAGAAATGAAATGAAGACATATACTCTCGGAAGCTCTAGGGAACAGGGCAGCAGTGGGTCGCAGCTTACTTAAAGAAGCCCCAAGTGTCACCAGTGCAATCAAGTACCATGACAATAATCACAGCAGGAAAAGAAGAACCCCGTGTTTGGTGGGGAGCAGGGCTGTACCTCTGGCTAAAGCACCAACTGGCAGTGGAGAACAAATTTTCAAAAGCTTATTTTCCCAGCACAACAGGCTGGTGCACTAAGAACACAGTATTCCCTCCAAAGCAGAATCATCATTATCTCACAGCAAAAAGGGCTCCCTTTGCCTTCAAGAACAGCATGACTACTAGAAAAAACTTGGCCAAGTAAATGAAGAGAAAGGAAACTTACCTGGGGTCAAAAACCCCTGGAGTGCGACAGGTCGGCCCAGAACAGGACTGTAACATCATTAACCGATAGTTCATCTTTCCTAAAAGCTCTGGGTCTATGCTTTTAGCAATGTTAGTGATTTGGTCTGGGTCTGCAGTCAGATTATAGACTTCTACAAACACCTAGAGGACACGAAAGAATGGAGGAAAGAAAAGAGCAAGGGTTAGCTGTGAAGAAATACTCTTAATGTGATTTATTTCTAAATGGGAAGGGAGGAGGTAGATAAAAAAATCAAGGCCCTGGAGACTCTCAATCTGGTCTCGAGATCCTCAAAGAGCTCACTGCTTCCTTGAGATGAGGGAGCATCTGTTCTGGGGGTTCAGTTGCTTCAGGTCTCCAGCCACACAGCCTGTGTGCCTTCAGGCAGAGGCAAGAAGGGGTATGGGGAAGAAATGCATTATCTTCTGTAATTAAAACAGAACAGAAGGCAGGAGCTTCCAATGGCAAGGTCTCAGAAACAAGACTTGGCAATAAAGTTACTAAAGCAAGAGCAAACATTTAAAGGTGATTTTTGCCCTAGAATTGTGAAGTTCAAATGGGAATGGATATGAAAGTACTCTTGCCTGTGTTATACAAATGTTAAGTTTTCCTATTTTAAAAAGTAGTTGTGGATATACTGGGGAAGGACACAGTACTAACTATTATTTCTAAAATAAGACAGGTCTAATGCAGTACTTTTCCCTCTGTAATCTGTATGCTGTTCTCCAAATTGGAGTCAAATGTTAGGCTAGAAAGATGGTAGGAAATTTTGCCTATAATGGTTTCAGGTAGCTGCCCTCACACTATCACTTATAAAATAGTTATCGAACTGATAAACATCATGGGGAGCAGGGAACAGGAACTGAGTTTGAGGGAAGCTCTCTTGCTTGTCCAAAGTGCTTATCAGCTGCAAATGGAGTGGAGAATGAGTCCATTTCTGAGAAACACAGATGGGCATCCGTTCCAGATGGTCAGATGAGGGTTGCCAGATGGGGCAGGTAAGCATATGCTGATAAACAGTAAGAAACCACAAGGGACTAGAGTCCATGGGATCCTTCAGATAAATCCACACCAAACTGTGTTGGCCAAAAACCACCTTCTTCCATGGATGGACTCCTGGGCCTCTGACCCCTACTCTAATCTACTGGAGCAGCAGTGGATTATGCTGTGGTGGGAACAGGAGTTTCTGAATACACCAGGTGCTGGTAAGCTTTCTAGGAAACACTCCAACTCAAGTGAAGTTGACTTCACTTAAAAGTGAAAGTTCTTTCACTCCAAACTACGAGGGAAGCTAACAGACAAAGCATTTATCATTCTGAAAACATGAACTGTGCATTTAAAGTATGTATTTGGGTGGTGGTAGGAATGGAGAGAACTCCAGAAAGATTAGAGAAGTGAGACATGGCCTTACAACGGAAGGAAACCTAAAGTGAAGCACAGATAAGAAACACAACCTCTTCCCTAGGGAGCAGCCTTGGAATTGCTATCTTATGCCACCAAGTCCAGCCAACAAAGCACCAGCAAGAAAGCAGTGGGGGAAGTGCAGGCAGAAGTCCCTCTTACCTCCTGGTCATCAAACTCGCAATACTGCAAATTCCACAATGCTGACATTGTCCTCACACAGGCATAGGTATTGTTATAAGCATCTTCACATACACAGTCTGGGAAACATTGCTGTAGGGATATTTCAAAATTTAAATGAAGACAGTTGTTGCATAGTAACAAATACCTAGTTGCCTAGAAGGGCAATCAGCTTGGCTCGTGCCAGACATGCAATCTGACAGCAATTAGAAAACCTTCCATGGAGAAGCCAGTAACTCAAAAATAGATGTGAGGCTTTGTTCCTTTGGCTAACCTGATCAAGGTATATGGGTTGTTCCATTTGTAGACTGTTGCCATCCTTGTCTGCTAAACTCTTGACAAGAATTACTTATAATGGGCACCTGTAAAATGTATGGGTTGGCAAGGAGAAGAAATCAACTCAAATGACTCTTTTTTTTTCCTGAGATAGAGTCTCACTCCCATCATGCAGGCAGAAGTGCAATGGTGTGATCTCGGCTCACTGCAACCTCCACCTCCTGGGTTCAAGTGATTCTCCTGCCTCAGCCTCCTGAGCAGCACAGGCATGCACCACCACACCCGGCTAATTTTTGTATTTGTAGTAGAGATGGGGTTTTGGCATGTTGGCCAGGCTGGTCTCGAACTCCTGACCTCAGGTGATCCACCCGCCTTGGCCTCCCAAAGTGCTAGGATTACCAGGCGTGATCCACAGCACCCGGCCCAAATGACTCATTTCTAAGAGCTACTAGGAACTATCACCCTAAAAAGTTGCAGAAGGCTAAAATGAGTTTTGTGGAGTCATTTGCAGGTTAAGTTATTTATGAGTGTTTTTATCACCAAGTACAACTTAAATCTAACTTCTGTCTACCATATGATCTGTTATTGTACTTTTGGTTGGTTTATTACACTGTAACACTTTGGTGTTAGAAGAATCAATCAACTCCAAATGGAAGCCGATTTTCCCTTCTCCAGAGTGAGGCCAAAGAGTGAGGCCAACATGGCTGTTCCCCTCTTTGTGACCCGGCTGGCTGCCGCCAATGTAGGCACTCGTAATGGCATGGTTACAGGCAGGAACCACATCTCTCTACTTCATGCCTCAGTAACATCCCTAATTTTAAAAACTGGTACTGTTATTGGAAGGGGTAGAAAAACAGGGAAGAGGAATTGATAAGAACATGGGTGGATACATGCACTTGCTACATAAATTGGAAGAATTAACAGTGCACATTCTGATGACAGGTCGGCAGCATCATTTCCAAGATCACTGGATTTACCTTTGTCCATCTACTAACCACTCACAGTCAGTGACAAATGAAGAGGACTCAGATGAAAGATTTCAATACTTGACACATGGAAACCAGCACCTTGCCACGTTGTCAGTGAGAAATCTGTCTAAGTCAATTCAAGCTATTACTCACAGATACGCCAGGACTCAGGGAAGGGCATGTTGGGTCAGTGACGTTACGGCCTTCTCCTTGGTATTCCACCAGGACATCTGATCGCCAGGTCAAGTTACTGGCACCTCTCTAGATAGAAGAGTAAGTGGAGTTTCTGTGAGGCACATAGACTATGATAAAGATCACAAAGTAATTGACTGCTAAAGGGGACTTGGGAGTCAAAAGTAATTGGACTGTTCATTCAGTAACTGAAGGGAATGACTAAAACAGGTGCACATGAAAGCTACTGAGCAGCATCTTTGGTACTTAAGGGCCTTTACAAGTGATGGTCAAATGCTTTGAAAATGTAATAGTTCCTTTCCAAGGCTACTTCCATGAATCAGGTCAGCAATGGAACCTGACAAGGTAGCTAAGCAAGAATCAAAGTTACAGTGCAAGTTGCTGAAAGTCCAGACTAAAATAAATAATACTGTCATATGCTCTATGTAAGAACTGTTTTAAGCTCAGACTAAGGAACTTATAACCTAATAGAAACAAGGACAATAAGGAAATATTCCACAGACTTGTGTGCAAAGGACTGTAACAGGTTCAAAGCACCTCTTGATGGTCAGAATGAAGGTATAGTACATTAACTCACTCACTCTTCAATGCACCTTCCATGGTGTGGAAGGAAAGAAGTGGCAGCATTTGAAAGGAGCAAGTTTAAGACACAAATGGTGAAAGGAGAAAGAATCTAGGAATAGGAACAAGTTTTAGATTCAAAGAGCATGAATATAGGTTGAACGCAGACCACTTAGATGTGTGGCTTCCTGAAACCCAGGTTTCAGACAAGGAAGCAGTGCACAGTGAGGGTGGAGAGGCAGGCTGGTACCACACAGGATAAGGCCCTGAACATCATGCTGCCCAGGCTTGTCCTAGAAACAATAGGTGGTTTTTGAGCAGGGAGGTAACACAATCAAGGCAGTGATTTAGAAAAGTAAGCTTAGTGGCAGAATCTAGAGACAGAATGGAGATATGCAAAGACAGGAAGACCAGGTTAGAAGCTGCTCTTAAAATGGTCAAAGTCTGGTTGGCAGCTTGGTGAAACGCAGAATCTCGGGTCCTACTCTAGCTCTAACAAGCCAAAGCCTACATTTTAGTAAGACCTCTTGGTGACTTCCATGCATAGTAAAAAACTGAGAAGCACTGCTCTAAAAAAGTGGTCCTTAAAGTGTGGTTCCCAGGACAAGCAGTATCACCTGGAAACTTGTTACAAATGAAAATTCTTAGTTCCTAACATAGGTAGACAGCAACCTGGGTTTCAGCAAGTCCCACCGGCAATTCTAGGGAATGCCTGCTTGAGAATCACTGCTCTAAAGAATGCTAAACATGGGTGAGTACAGTGGGGAATGGGTAACAGCTTGTGCAAGGCCTTGAATGCCGCAGCCACCTGAAAAGGGGGAGTTAGAGATAGCAATTATTTCCTAACTTACTGTTCTACAATGAAACTTGAACAATCCTGTGCGGCTCAGGATCTCAGAAATCATGACTCACTGGAGACTTAAAAAGCTCACGCTGGCTGGGCGCGGTGGCTCACGCCTGTAATCCCAGCACTTTGGGAGGCCGAGGTGGGCAGATCACCTGAGGTCAGGAGTTCGAGACTAACCTGGCCAACATGGTGAAACACCGTCTCTACTAAAAAATACCAAAAAACTAGCTGGGCATGGTGGCGTACACCTGTGGTCCCAGCTACTTGGGAGGCTGAGGCAGAATGATTGCTTGAACCCAGGCGGCAGAGGTTGTGGTGAGCCGAGATGGCACCACTGCACCCCAGCCTAGGCAACAGAGCGAGACTGTCTTGGAAAACGAGAGGAAAAAAAAAAAAAAAAAAAAAAAAAAGCTCATGCTGCCAAACCTGAGCCGTGAAGCTGGAAGGTGGAATTGAGTGAACTGTCAGAATTGAGTGAACTTCAAAATCCCACCCTTGAATGTCAAAGTGTCCAGGGGAGAAAAAAGCATCTGAGAAGCCTAGATCAGTGGTTCCTGAACTTTGCTGCATATTAAAAATCACAAGGGAAACTTGAAAAATCCCAAGGGATTCTATCTCATGCCAATTAAATCAGAATCTCTACGGGTGAGGCACAGACATTAGTATTTTAGTTTCCGAGTGATTCTGATGTCTGACCAAGTCTGAGACTCACGGTCTGTAGGGGTTGTTAAACTTTTTTTGTAAAAGGCCACAGAGTAAATATTTAGGCTCCTGGCTATACAGTTCCCTGCCACTCAGGTAGCAGGGAAGCAGCCATCAACAATACATAAATGAATGAGCGTGGCCGTGTTCTGATATAACTTTATTTACAGACACCGGGGTGGGCTAGATTTGGCCCACAGGTTGTAGTCTGCCAACTGCTAGTCCAGCAGAACTTGCTGGCTGACACGTTCTCCATCTCTGCTGTTCAATATGATGGCTACTGAGCACATGATGTGCGGCTAGTGCAACCGAAGAACTGAATTTCATTTTTAATTTAAATAAGTAGCCACACATGGCTAATTAACTGTTCTAATACATCAGTATTTCATCGGAATAACCTCCAAAAACAAAACATGAACAAGGAAAAGAACCAAGTCTTAAGTGGCACTTTGAGAACTGTGCAGAGAAATTATACACAGCATAAGGATTTTTACCCCTAGAGTGAATCAGTTTCTTTTTCTAATTAGAAAAAAACTTAATAAGGTACAAAGTATAAGACTTGTACGAAAAGTTAAAAGATGTAAAATTTCCTCTAACTGATCTATAGCTTAAATGCAATTCCAACCAAAAGCCAACGTTTTTCAGGTAATCTGAAAAGCCGATTCTAAAGTTTATGTGGAAGACAGGGGCTAGGATCCCCATGAGAACAATAAGCAGAGAGGTATGCCTATGCAAATCGAGATTTAGTTGCACAGCTTTATAACACAAAATGATATTGGCACAGGGATAGATGGATCCATGGAGCAAAAAAGACAACTAAGTATCTATAGAGCAAAAAAAAAAAAAAAAAAAAAAAAGAGAGAGAAACTGAATCCCTGACTCATACCTTACAAGAAAAGAAATTTTAGATACATCAAGGACTTGGATGTAAGAGGCAGAGCTACAAAAGTTTCAGAGGAAAATACAGGAGAATAGCTTTCTGGCTTCAAAGTTTAGAAGCATCTTTATAAATATACAAAGGACACTAAACATTAAAAGAAACAATATATACATTCAATTCCTGGAGTGCAGTGGTACGATCTCTGCTCACTACAACCTCCACCTCCTTGGCTCAAACAATCCTGCTACCTCAGCCTTCTGAGTAGTTGGGACTACAGATGCACACCATCATGCCTGGCTAATTTTCTGCATTTTTTGTAGAGACTGGGTCTTGCCATGTTGCCCAGGCTGGTCTTGAACTCCTGGACTCGAGATCAGCCTGCCTTGGCCTCCCAAATTGTTGGGATTACAGGCGTGAGCCATTGCACCTGGCTCCCATATCTTAATATATGGAAAAGACAAGTCATAAAAGGAGACTATGATACACAAAAATGCAGAGGCATTTCTCAAGGGAAGAAACACAAAAAGGCACAAATGAAAAGTGATTCCCTGATCAGTAACACAATTTTTTTTTTTTTTGAGACGGAGTCTCGCTCTGTCACCCAGGCTGGAGTGCAGTGGCCGGATCTCAGCTCACTGCAAGCTCCGCCTCCCGGGTTTACGCCATTCTCCTGCCTCAGCCTCCCGAGTAGCTGGGACTACAGGCGCCTGCCACCTCGCCCGGCTAAGTTTTTGTATTTTTAGTAGAGACGGGGTTTCACTGTGTTAGCCAGGGTGGTCTCGATCTCCTGACCTCATGATCCGCCCGTCTCGGCCTCCCAAAGTGCTGGGATTACAGGCTTGAGCCACCGCGCCCGGCCAGTAACACAATTAAAAGAAAAAAAAAAAAAAAACGGACAAAGGATCCAAATATGAACACATCTCCAAAGAAGATATACAAATGGCTGACAAACACATGATGAAATGCTAACCATCAATAGTCAGCAGGGAAATACAAATCAAAACCACAATGAGATACCACTTCACACCTACTACAATAATCACAAAGACAGATAATAGCAAGTGTTGGCTCACACCCATAATCCCAGCACTTTTGGAGGCTGAAGGGGGAGGATTTTTTTTTTTTCCCCTTAAAATCTTCTTGGAAAACATGTGAGAATCTCTTGAGCCCAGGAGTTCGAGACCAGCCTGGGCAATGTAGGAAGACCTCATTTCTGCTAAAAATTAAAAAAAAAAAAAAAAAATTAGCCAGATGTGGCAGCCAGCCACTGTAGTCCCAGCTACTTGGGGGGGCTGTGGTGGGAGGATCCTCTGAGCCTGGGAGACTGAGGCTGCAGTGAGCTGTGATCAGCAACACTTCGCTCCAGCCTCGGTGACAGCGCAAGACTATCTCAAAAACAAACAAAAACATCACAACTGCATTGTTCATAATAGCCAAAGAGTGGAAACAGCCCAAATTATCTGATGAATGGATAAGCAAAATGTGATACATTCACACACAGAAGGTTATTTGGCACTAAAACAGAATAAGGTACTGACACACGTTACAATGATATGATCCTTGAAAACACTATGCTCAGTGAAAAAAGCAGTTACAAGAGGCCACATGTTATGTAATTTCATTTATATGAAAAGTTCAGAGCAGACAATTCTATACAGACATAAAGTAGATTCGTGGTGGGAATGGAAGCAACAGATCTAATCAATTCCCTGCACCACAGCTTAATCAATTCTCTACTAGATATGTGGATTTCCAGTTTTCTCCTATTAGAGTGACTACTGTGTCTGGGGGTTTAGGGTGATGAAAATGCTCTTAGATGATGATGATGGTTGTGACTATACCAACAACTATTGAATTGGACACCTAAAAAATGATTTTAATTTTGAAATGGAGTTTCACTCTTGTTGCCCAGGCTGGAGCGCAATGGCGCGATTTCCACTCACTGCAACCTCCACCTCCTGGATTCAAGTGATTCTCCTGCCTCAGCCTCCCGAGTAGCTGGGATTACAGGTGCCTGCAAACATGCCCAGCTTTTTTGTATTTTTAGTAGAGACAGGGGTTCACCATTTTGGCCAGGATGGTCTTGAACTCCTGACCCCAGGTGATCCACCCACCTTTGGCCTCCCAAAGTGTTGGGATTACAGGCGTGAGCCACCGCGCCCAGCCAACACTTTAAATGAGTGAATTGTATGGTATGGGAATTAAGCTGTTAAAAAATAATTCACCTCATTATTAAACAAACAGATGCACAGTAAGACCAAATGCCACATTTCACTCACCAGACAGGCAGAAGTTAACTTGTCTGTTTTTGACGTGTGTACTCTGAAGTGGTATGTCTTATTAAACTAACCTTCTGACAGGTTATACTGATTATACTTGTATGAAAAGTATATAAAGTACTTTCCAAATTCTCAGACTTCTAAAATCTTGGGTGTTTTAAAAATCTTTGCCAGTTCACAGATAGAGGTCTCCTTCAGTTAAGCACTTCTGTGATTAGCACTGAAGTAATCTTTTTGCATTTGTTTTGCCATTTTTAATTCTTCTACAAGTTGATTAGCCACTTTTTTTGCCCATTTTCCCACTGGGATACTAATCTTTGTTAAGAACTCATGTATTTGGACTAACGACTCTTTTTACATATGCTGCCAATGTGTTCCCAACCTGTCACCTCTCTTTATTTATGGTGGGTATTCTTGAGGAGAGCAAAAGAGGGGAGGAAACAGAACTCTAAATTTCACATGTGGTCTAATTTTTTATTTTAGAAAACTCCTTCCCGCCACAAGATTTTTCTGCCCCCCAAATTTATTATTTAATGTTTAAATTTTTAAGTCTTTACACAACCCAGAATTTATTGTGGTCTTGGCTCAGGCCTGATTGAGGGCTCTATACTTACCAAAATGGGCAAAAAGGACATCCCATCCATCTGTGTCTTATTTAGGTCATAGCCAGCAATGTCCAAAATAGTAGGACCCAAGTCAATGTTGGCAACCAGCATCTATGCAAAAGAGGGAAAAACAATCTAAAACATAGCTGGTCTCATTTTCCTTTTCTATCTATACTAAAGTTCTCTTCCCCCCACCCCACCCATGAGACAACAACACTTACTATTACCTTTTATACAGCCCATGCTTTGGTCTGTTTTATGGATTCAAATATAACTATAATAACTTACAACAAAATATAAAGTCTTACAAGGCTTGTATAATAGTATATCCCCTGGGGAAGTGACATATTTATTCTACCCATTCTGTTATTGATCAAAATGTTTTTTTGAAAACTCCTTTGGAACTGCTTTGAGTTTGCTGTGAATCATGAGAAAAATGTTGGTCTAATTATTTTATACGAAGTGTCTTACAACTTGATTATTCAGATTAACTAAATTTGACTTCAAATGAACTCCAGACATTTTGGAAGACCTCAAAAATGGAATGTTTGCCACCAATGAGAATTATTAGCTCTTTTTATAGCTTCTCAAAGGGACAACACTGCCAAAATATGTTTGCAACAGGCTGTGAAGGCTGCAGAAAATTTATTCCAAAAATATAGCAATACAAGATTTTTTAAGAGCAAAAAACTTAGATGTTTTTAAACATTCTAGAAACTAAAGGCATTGTCCTGTATTTATGCTTTGACTTATTTCCTTGGTTATCAGACTATTTTCCTTCTGCAGACAACACCTCTACAGGGCCTAATCCAGAGTAGCCTGATAGAAATATAAAAGGGACCCCACATGCAATTAAAAATTGTCCAATAACCACATTAAAACAGGTAAAACTGTATACATTTCATTTAACCTCCTATAAAAATATCTGAATATTAATATTTCAACATGTAAACAATATTTTTTTAAAAGTCGATGAGATTTAACTTTTTGTGAACCAAGTCTTTGAAATCTGGTATTTCACAATAATAACTCATCTCCATTTGGACTATCCACATTTCAAGTGCTCAACAGCCACAAGTGGACAGTGCAGGCCTAGACAGAACGTAAGCATAGAAGTCACTTGGTCACGCGCTAGAAAAATCTTCAAGCGCTAAAACACTCCATCAGGGGAAACAAAGAGGAAATGAGAAAAACTGGGAACTACAGTTTACTGTGCCAGGTATTTGACGTTTATTCTCATTTATTCCTCATCGCAGTCCGTGGACACAGTGTTTATAGGTGAAGAAATGAAACACAAGAGTGGCTGGAGCAAAGTTACCAGCTTATAACTGGAAAAGCCATCACTTACTGACAGGAAATAACAGTCTTCAAAACTGTTGAGAACACTTAGATCATCTTAGGAGAGGCCAAACAGGGAAATAAAACAAAACAAAAACACCCCAGCCCTGCAACTATTAATTTGAAAACAAAACCAAAAGTACAGATAGGAAAGGCAAAAAAAAAAAAAAAAAAAAATGTTCAGAATATTATCAGGGGCCAGGTTTCCTGATGGCTAGGACAGCTCTTAGAGGGCAGAGTGATAAATATCCTGGCTCTGAATCAATTAGTCTAACTCTGCAGCTGTTAGGAATTACCGCCCAGAGGCAGACACTTTAGGAGAAAGGCAATCCATGTGTTTACTCAGTGAGGGAAAAACCTCACACACAAAAAACGATGTCTCCAGGGATGATACAAGACCCACTGCTACAGATAACTTTCCTGGTTCCAAATCCCCCAGGCAAACTGAGCAGCTTGGAAAACAGTCATCAAGTGTGAGTGTCAATATGGAAGAGGTCACAGGAGGAAAGGAGGGTCAAAGAGAGACACCATCTCCAGAATGAGATCAAGACAACAAGCCATCTACAGACCCTGAAGTGTGACTAGCAGATCTTCAGTGACGCCTGTAACATGAATGAGGTGAAGCCAATTCCTCAGATACTATGATGTTCAAGGCAGTTTTAAAAGAAAAGAGGAAACATCAAAAAACCCACAGAGATATAAAATGGTGACTGTCATCTCACCAAAAATTGCAAGAGCCAACACCTGTATAATGGGAGGCTTGCTCCTTTTTTGGTGAGGTGGGGGGAAGCTCTTTCTTTTTGTTTTGTTGTTTGAGACAGGGTCTCATTCTGTCACCCAAGCTGGAGTGCAGTGGCACAATCACAGCTCACTGTGTCCCTGACCTCCCAGATTCAACTGATCTTCCTGCCTCAGCATCCAGAGCAACTGGGACTACAGGTGCACACCATGATGCCCAGCTAATTTTTGTATTATTAATTTTTAGCAGAGATGGGGTTTCTGCCACGCTGCCCGGGCTGGTCTCAAATTTCTGAATTCAAGTGATCCGCCTGCCTTGGCCTCCCCAAGTGCTGGGATTACAGGTGTGAGCCACTGCACCCAGCCGAGGCTCTTTCTAATGGCATTTTGCTCTCTGGAGAGAAAGGGGTAAGATCCAGTATAAATCCAAAGTCACTAAGATTCAGCACAAGTACCGTAAGCACAAGTCATTCCAGGACTCTTTCTCCCTAGAAATCTATAATTATCACACTCCCCTAAATATAATGGATAAACTGCCTCCTCTTCTAAAATGTTATCTGAATAAGCAGACAGTCTCAAAATTAGCATACTATATCAGGAGATGGGAGACATCTAGCGAACAGCAAGTATGAATGAAGAGTTAAAAAGAATTACACCTACCTCTGGTTTTTATATAACCAAGAATTTGGATGGATTCACCCATCAATGTGATGACTTTGATAAACATTAGTTTCAGGGTATTGCTTTTGTCTAGTAAAAATTTAAAAATTCATTTATGGGCTGAGCACAGTGGCTCTCGCTGGTAATCCCAGCACTATGGGAGGCCAAGGCAGGAGGATCACTTGAGGCCAAGGCTGCAGTGAGCCATGTTTGAGCCACCACATTCCAACCTGGGTGAGAGAGTGCCTATCTCAAATAAACAAAAAATTCATTTACGGATTGGAACAGAAAAAGCTTTGACAAGACCAAAAATATATTTTTTGAGACAGATTTTTTGCTCTGTTGCCCAGGATGGAGTGCAATGGTGAGATCTCGGCTCATTGCAACCTCCGCCTCCTGGGTTCAAGCAATACTCTTGCTTCAACCTCCCAAGTAGTTGGGATTACAGGCACCCGGCACCGCACCTGGCTTATGTTTTTGTTTTTTGTTTTGTTGGTTTTTTTTTTGAGACAGAGTCTCGCTCTGTCGCCCAGGCTGGAGTGCAGTGGCACGATCTCAGCTCACCACAAGCTCCACATCCCAGGTTCATGCCGTTCTCCTGCCTCAGCCTCCCGCGTAGCTGAGACTACAGGCGCCCGTCACCAAGCCTGGCTAAATTTTTTGTATTTTTAGTGGAGATGAGGTTTCACCATGTTAGTCAGGATGGTCTCGATCTCCTGACCTCATGATCCACCCGCCTTGGCCTCCCAAAGTGCTGGGATTACAGGCGTGAGCCACCGTGTCCAGCCTAATTTTTGTATTTTTAGTCAAGACGAGGTTTCACCATGTTGGCCAGACTGGTCTCGAATTCTTGACCTCAGGTGATCTACCTGTCTTGTCCTCCCAAAGTGCTAGGATTACAGGCATGAGCCACCGTGCCCAGCCAAAAAAATAAATTATTTGATAAATCACACTCTCTCAGGTTGACAGTGTTCTTAGCAATCAAGTATATAAATATCCTAATCCAATGAAAGTCCCTAGAAAACCCTGGGGTAGACTGGCTGTGGCGGCTCATGCCTGTAATGAGGGGAGGAGGGCTGATTGCTTGAGCCCAGTGTTCCAGAACAGCCTGGGCAACGTAATGAAACTCCATCTCTACAAAACAAAACAAAACAAAACAAAACAAAAAACACACACAAAACAAAAATTAGCTGGGCATGGTGGTGTGTGCCTATAGTCCCAGCTACTCAGAAGGCTGAGGTAGGATGATCACCTGAGCCTGGGAGGCGGAGGATGCAGTGAGCCAAGATTATGCCACCGCGCTCCAGCCTAAGTTACAGAGCAAGACTCTGTCTCAAAACAAACAAACAAACAAATAAACAAACACTCCTGGGGCTTAAATCAAGGGGTATCACGCATAGAACCTGCTTACTCTTGCTCTGAAAGAATGACACTGTTGCATAATTACTGAAAAGAACAAGATGGCAATGGGCTCTCAGAACACATCAGGTTTCCAAACAGACACCCAAACCCTGATGTTGAATTTCTGTAGTTATCAAAGAAAAGGCTCCAAGCACACCAGGAAGCACCCCAAATTCACTTAGTGAAAAGCACTGTAACTGCATGAGAAAGTGCAGAATCCCATTATCTTGGTTGCTTCAGCTGGACTTGCCCCTCAGTTCCAGTTTTCCCGACAAGGAAGAAGGTGGGTTCCACTTGATAATGGAGGCTTAACATCCTCTTACTTTCACAAAACTAGGGGAACCAAGGCTGATTTTGTCCAAAGCCAATAGGTGGTCTTCCTGACTCCCAGTTCACTTCTATTTCCCTGGGACCATGCTGTATCATTCTAGTTTTCCTACTAACCTTTTCCTTTCTAGAATTCCTTTTGCAGAACTTCTACCACCAAAGCTAAACCAGTCAGAGGAGAAAACGTCAATAGCCAATCTTTGACATCTATACATACGACCTTGTCCCAGTTCTCCCGCATAGCCAACACGCAGCTAAGTCCACCAGTCAGTTAAATGTGCACTGATCTGGCTGTCGAGGCTGCTGACAGCTCAGCTCATTATGCCCAACTCACAAGCCGGTGCCACTCACACAGAACGGCTGGTACTGAGTCAACTGTGCTGCCAACACATGATACATCACCCATCATCTCTGACATTCCCTGTGCCAGGGGAAAGCTGGGGCACTTCATGCTTCTCAAAGTACACCTGTCAATGCAGCAATGTACAAACACATGGGTTCTGAGAATGCACAGACTTAACTTTCAGTCCCTGATCTGCCACTTACTTTGCAACCTTGGCAAAAATCCATTCAACTAATGTGGATGTTCCCCAGTATATGTTAGGGGATGGATATTTTAAGTTTAGATAGTTCCTCTTTTCTAGGACATCCTAGACTAAAAAAGACAAACTCAATAGGGTGTGACAAGTGTGAGGCCAGCTGGGAACATATAGGAAGGGCATCTACCCCATGTGGGAGCAGAAGTATGAAGCGACTTCCCAGAGGGAGCCCTAAACCAAAGCCCTAAAGGACAATTAACTTGGCCAGCTGAAGGGGGTGCGAGATGGGCATTGCAGAAAGAAGGAGCAGTCACTTGTACAAAGGCCAGGAGGTGAGAGAGAAGGTCCACTTAGGAAGTACAAGAAGTTCAATACAACTGCTACCTTCTGTCTCTTAAACAAGCCTAGCTTATCCTTACATCTGAGCCTTTGCATTTACTGTACTGCTCAGGACACTATTCCCACAGATCTCTGCATGGCTAAATCCTTCTCAACATCCACGTCTGCTCAAATGCCTCAGAGGCTTTCACTGACCACTGTAGCTTAAATATCTTGTGCTCCCTGACACAGGGATTTAAGAACTGATCTTGTGGCCAGGCGTGGTGGCTCATGTCTGCAATCCCAGCACTTTGGGAGGAGAAGGCGGGCAGATCACAAGGTCAGGAGATTGAGACCCCATCTCTACTTAAAAAAAAAAAAAAAATTAGCCAGGCATGGTGGTGGGCACCTATAGTCCCAGCTAGTAGGGAGGCTGAGGCAGGAGAATGGCGTGAACCCAGGAGGCGGAGCTTGCAGTGAGCAGAGATCGCGCCACTGCACTCCAGCCTGGGCAACAGAGCGAGGCTCCATCTCAAAAAAAAAAAAAAAAAAAAAAAAAAAAAAAAAAAACAACAAGGCCGGGCGCGGTGGCTCAAGCCTGTAATCCCAGCACTTTGGGAGGCCGAGACGGGCGGATCACGAGGTCAGGAGATCGAGACCATCCTGGCTAACACGGTGAAACCCCGTCTCTACTAAAAATACAAAAAACTAGCCGGGCGAGGTGGCGGGCGCCTGTAGTTCCGGCTACTCGGGAGGCTGAGGCAGGAGAATGGCGTAAAAACCCGGGAGGCAGAGCTTGCAGTGAGCTGAGATCCGGCCACTGCACTCCAGCCTGGGCAACACAGCGAGACTCCGTCTCAAAAAAAAAAAAAAAAAAAAACCAACAACAACAAAACTGATTTTGTTTGATTGCTCCTTGCCATGTGCAAGGCTCCTTGGTGTACTGTACTGGCAAAGAAGATAATAAATACTTGTTGACTGAGCTATAATGTAATGGTTAAGTATACAGACTTTGAAGCCAGACTGCCCCAGTTCAAATGCAGGGCTCTGCTGCTTTTTAGCTATGTGATCTTCAGCAAACAACTTCTCTGCTTCCGTTTTCCTCATCTGCAAAATAGGGATAACAGCACCTCTATCTCATCAACTGTGAGGATTGAGTGAGTTGAATCAGGCAATACACTTAGAATAGCACCTGTCCCATACTAAACAATACATGTTAGCTACATTGTTGAAATGGCTTCTCAGAAACCAGACTTCATTTAGATTGCTTAGAGAAGGTGAAGTTTCTGATTTTTAACATTTAGATGGCAATGTTAACTTAAAGAAAAAAAGGAACAATTTTTTCCACAGGCAGCTGGCCGACACATTTCACTATGATCTCATTCAGCCTCCTTCCCACGTGGGCTGAGGTAGCCCTGCTCCTAAAAACAGAACATGGCTGCTGACATGGTCTCCTCAATCAGTTCCAAACAACCACCTCGAGAAAACACTTGTAAGATTTAATGGTCTTCCAAACTTGCTTATCTCCTTTGAAAGAGGGAGCCTGTTTAGAAGGCACTGAAATTTGTAGGGAAAAGTGACTAGCTTTAGGAACATGGGTCTTAAAGGAAAAACACAAAAGGTAATTATGAAGGCCATTTTACCTTCCAAAAGAATTTTAACAGAACTCCATCAAGAGTGTTGTAAAAGGAAATAAGTGAAAAATAGACATTTTAAACAAGTAAATATCAAGCTCCAAAATTAAAGTACCCAATATACCCAGAAAGTCTGGCCCATTTAAAAACCCACTTAGCAATTTCAGCTTAAAGTGTGTATTTGTTCATCTTCTTTGGTCTCTCAGAACTGGGACTGACATTGAAATTGGGATATCAGAAAGGAGAGAAGACATAGCTGGCGGAGCCTGTCAATTCTTTTCTCCTGAATGTTGGAGGACAGTATTTTGGATGAGGATGAAGGTCCTCATGACTGCTAGGAACAAAGTGCCTCAGCATTAGGTACCATGTTTGGAAAAAGACACTGAAACCGAATGGGAATGACAACAGAACAATGTGGCGTATTATGGCAGTTCTAGGGAGAGAACCAAGAAAGCAACAAAGCATTCATAAGGAAAAGCCCGGCACAGGGAAAGACTAATTCCTAGAAGACATGTTTTTGATAGCCTTATACTCAAAGCGAGGTCAGGCCAGCAGCAGACATCACCCAGGAGCTGGTCAGAAATGGAGAAGCAGAAATCTGCATTTTAACCAGATCCCCAGGGGATTCACAGAAAAGCCAGAGGAGCTCTGCTCTACAAGGCAGTGGGCCCCAAACCAGGCTGCCTCTCAGAATCACCTGTAAACTTCGAAAAGGAAAAAGGCAGATGCTGGGTCCCTATTCCAGACCAAGTGAGTCAATTACACTCTTTCTGGATATTGCCCAAGCACGCAGCATTTTTCTTCTTCAGTTTTGGAGGGCAATCTTGATGCACACCCTCTTTTGAGAGTCACTGCTCCAGAACAAAGATCCAGTCTCAAAAGACAAAGGAAAGCTACGCATCCTAATGGGACATGTACATGTGGGGTGAAAATACAGATATAGAGAGCAGTGGGAAGTTAAGGGGAAAAAAAAAGGAATCACTATTTCCATTTAAAAGCTCTTCTGCCGCTCAGCCCTAGTGGGAAGAGGAACCGAACCCAATCTTCTCTCAGGAGGAAACACCTTATTTTCTCAGGCCAAATGCCTACCTGTCCACAGCACCAGCTTGCCAGGCACCTACCTTGCTTGTCTGATTTGGTTTGATCCCAGGCCCTCGAACCAACAGTGGAACTTTGATATCAAACTCATACAGCTGTCTCTTGTCTATTGGCAAGGAAAACTGTCCTGAAAACAAAACACACAAGGTAAAGATGGAGCCAAGACAGGGGCCTTGCTCATGTTATGTTTCACTCATTTAATCCACAGTCAAAACTAAAACAACTTTGTTCTACTGATTCTGGTGTTTTAATAGAAAGCTGAAATTTGCCTGGAGACATCTCTTGTTACTACAAGGCAGGAAAACAACGAATTTATCTTCTCTAAATAAATGACTAGAAGGGACTCCCTGGCTTATGATAGGACAAAATGAGCAAAAATAATGACAGGAAAGTATTGAAACACAAATACATAAAAAATTATGCATGCTACTCAGCCTCATCACAACTGAATGAAGTTTACTCCAAAAACTGTCAAATAAACAAACAAAAACACCTATCCTGTGTTTCCTGAATAAACTGCATCTCAAAATAACCAAATAATTGATAAGGGGAAGTAGTTCTCTGAGGAATTCCAGCTAATAAATACAAAAGAAAGGACAGGATTACAAAATCAGCATTTTGCAGTTTCTGAGGGAATAATGAATTTAGGCAACAATCATCAATGGAATAAAAGAAAAGCTCAAAGGAAGAGCTCAGGCTGAAACCACCTGACCCATCAATCACCAGCACCCCAAAAACAGTGCAGCCAGATGCCTCGGGTCTCATGACATGATGCAATAGGAAGAACACACCTGCAGGCGAGGATGCACCATCACCTGAAAATGCAAATTTCTATCAAGTTCCGAATCTACCAGTCTATAGGAAATGCTGACTAGAGATGAACAAGTTAAGGCACTATAAGACAGCAGTTAGCCAAATTCAGAATGTGAGACATTCTGATGGACAAAAGACCCACTTCTCCCTGCAAATTCATGGCAAATGACAAGAGTTAGGAGACACAATAACTATAGGTAGTATGTGGACTCTGTCTGCATCTTTTTTTTTTTTTGAGATGGAATCTCGCTCTGTTACCCACGCTGGAGTGCAGTGGCACGATCTCAGCTCACTGCAACCTCAACCTCCTGGATTCAAGCGATTCTCCTGCCTCAGCCTCCTGAGTAGCTGGGACTACAGGCATGTGCCATCACGCCTGACTAATTTTTGTATTTTTAGTAGAGAAGGAGTTCTGGCATGTTGGCCAGGCTGATCTAGAACTCCTGGCCTCAGGTGATCCACCTGCCTTGGCCTCCCAAAGTGCTGGGATTATAGGTGTGAGCCACTGTGGCTGGCGGTCTGCATCTTGATACATAATAACCAGAGTCAGATGCATAATCTGGTGTTGAATCCTGGAGTCATGTGTATGGGAGTTGCTTCAAAACCTTCTAGCAACAAAAGAAAAACACACGGAGAGTAGGAAGAATTCAAAAGAGTGGCCTCATGCAGCTGAAAATCTAAGCCGGATAATGGGGGCTATTTTACTATTCTCTACTTTGTGTTTAAAAATATTCACAGGCCGGGCATGTGGCTCACGTCTGTACTCCTAGCACTTAGGGAGGCGGAGATAGGCAGATTACCTGAGGTCAGGAGTTCAAGACCAGTCTGGCCAACATGATAAAAACCCATCTCTACTAAAACACAAAAATTGGTCAGGCGTGGTGGCATGTGCCTGTAGTCTCCGGTACTCAAGAGGTTGAGGCAGGAGAATCGCTTGAATCTGGGAGACGGAGGTTGCTATGAGCCGAAATCACGGCGCTACTACACCCCAGCCTGGGTGAGAGAGTGAGATTCTGTCCCCCCACACCCCCTCATCAAAAACATAATCACAATAATGCATTAATGCCTAAGCGATCTCCTCCTATGCAAGCAAGTCTCAAGTGAATCCCATTCAAGTGGACATTTATATATGTGGAAAAGAAGAAAATGTTTGCTTTTAACAACAGAAGGTCCAAGTAGAAAGCATGAAAGTCAAGGACACAGAGCTGACTCATCCTGCAGCTTTTGAAAAAAACCAAAAACACTCAAAAAACAAATTCCATGAATGGCAAGAAAGTCTTCCCCACAAGACAACCTTCTTTTGGCCTTCCTGTCTCAAATGCCTTCCATACGGCCTGCCTCCAACCCATCAAGTTCATGCTCTGCCCCCACTCTAGAACACCATGTCATCTTGCGTGTGAAACAGCAAATAATAAAACCTGGTTTCTCCATGTGTGAATGATGTGGTGCTCCAACTGGAGGGGTCCTGAGGGCAAGATACTCCCTCTGGCATGTCCAGTTATAACAAGACTAGAACTCTCTGCCAGGGCTCACTGGGTGAAAAAGGAAAGACATATTCTCAAAGATCACAGCAGTACCTAACCCTGCCTCTGACCTGTGTGATAGCCATTGTCTGAGGTATAGAAGATGTAAGTGTTGTTGAGCTCGCCGGTGAACTCCAATCTCTTGACCAGTTTCTCCACAAGGTCATCAACTGAGAGGAGAGTTTGCCACCTGGATGTGAACAGAAGGTAGAAAGGGGCAATGGCTGAGGTATCACTATCTTGCCAAAACAAACAAACAAACAACCAAAAACAACCAAAAACAAAGACACCCCCGTTTAAAAAAAGAAAAAACCCAAAACACTCTCCCCCAAAACTCAAATCCCCAATCTCCATTCCCCAGACCTTCCCATTGTAAAAAACAGATTAGAAAATTCCAGAACATAATTCATTCCAAAGTTAATTGTTTCCAAAGAAATAAACTCGTTTTTAAATAACCCGTTAGCTTTACTTTTTATTGGCAATAGTGATGAGAGTAGAGACAAACAGAAGAAAGAGTTGTCCATTCTCAGTACTGTGTACTACAGATTCAGACAGGACTGTGCTACAAAAAAGCTTAAGATGTTTGAACTAGGAGCTGGCAAACTATGACTCATGGGCCAAAGCTTGCCCACTGTCTGTTTTTATAAAGTTTTATTGGACTACAACCATGCTCATTCATTTACACATTACCCAGGGCTGCTTTTGTGCTACAATAGCAGAGCTGAGTAGTTGTGACAGAATGTATGACCTGCAAGCCTATTAATATTTACTATCTGCCCCTTTACAGAAAAAGTTTGCTTATCCCTGGTCTACACTAAATACTTCCTAAGAGAAAGTAATGGATTTTTAAAAATTGAATTAAGATAATTTCTTGAAAATTCCAAACAGCAAGGGCAAATATTTTGATCTTGTCTAAGCTGTTGGGTCATTTGTCACAGACGACAATGGGCTCTCTTAACCAAGTAACCTTTTCTTTAAAGCAGGAGAAAAAAATTCTACCACATGGTTCAAGTTTGCAATACTTTTGCCAAGTCCTAAAAATGGGCAGTCTAATTAGTACTGGGGTCCAAAGGCCACCTCATTGAGTGTAAAGGAATGTCTCTGCTTCTGGTGCCCCATCGAAGCCTCTCTCCCACTGACCTGCTTCCCTCTATTTTTGTTTCAGAGACAACAATGTGGTGGTCCCCTCTTCATGAGCTGATTTGTAGAGTCCTTAAAACAACTCAGATTGTTGCCTAGCAGCAGCTCTTACCTTTTCCTAAATGCATTATCTAAAAACTGTATTGAAGAATTAGTCATTGGAGTCTTGGCTTGCCTAATTAGCCAGTGCTTGTTCTAAAATTTAGAAGGAAAAAAATGTTAACACCAAGTCACCACAGTCAAACAAAATACTGGATTACTAGAATAGATAAATAGAATCATTTCATTCATAATTCAGTAAGAAGGAACTAATTGGAACCTGTTTAAGCAACTTCAGACCTTCTCTCCCTTCCTGCATTCCTAAAATAGAAATTTCTGCAGATTAACTCAATCTCTCATTTTTCAGCTTCCCAGCACCTCCCAAACCATAAAAGGTCTTGGCTCCTCTGTTAGCAGCATTAAGAAATTTTAGAGGATGTCACTGGGCAACTACTGGCTAAAACGAGATTACATTTACAACTCTGATTTTATGCCTTTGGTCTACTACAATTACAAAATGGGCAAGTAACTTTACCTTTCTCTAAGTTGCTTTTTTTGAGACAGAGGTGGAGGTTGCATTGAGCCAAGATCGCACCACTGCACTCCAGCCCAAGGCCAAGCTAGAGTGCAGTGGCGCCCATTTCGGCTCACTGCAACCTGTGCCTCCCGGATTCATGTGATTTTCATGCCTTAGCCACCCGAGTAGCTGGGATTACAGGCGTGCACTACATCTGTCTAATTTTTGTATTTTCAGTAGAGATGGGGTTTCGTCATGTTCGCCAGGCTGGTCTTGAACTCCTGGCCTCAAGTGATCCTCTTGCCTTGGCCTCCCAAAGTGCTGGGATTACAAGCATAAGCCACCACACCTGGTCTGCCTTCCTCTAAGTTTTGCCTAGCCAAGACATCGGTCACCCTAGATCCTAAGGAAAAATCTTATTACAGCAATTTCCTAAAACTTCAAGTCTAAATCTGGAGGGCCCTCCCATTTAAACAAAAACATCCCCATATACTATTCTCTCTTCTCTATTCGTAAAACCCTAAGCCACCATATCTCAAACTATGCTCCTCAAAGTGTTACTAAGTTTGGGAAATGCTATATAGCATATCCTAATGCTAGAAATTCACATTCGATCATGAATAACTCTGAGAAGTCCTGCAGCAGAGTGACTTATTTAACTCAAACTTTCCAAACTTACTTGACCATGGGAACTTTTTATTAACTTCTTTTGGAACACAGATTGCGAATGGTCCTCTAATTTAAAACCCAGTTCACTCAGCTTTGAAATTGTATTTAACAAGCACTTGCCCATAATGTGCCAGGCAATATGCTAATTGTTTCTATGTACTTGAATTCATACAGTAGTTCATAAGGGATCAAGAGCTCCCACTTCACATGAAAAAATGCAGTTAAGCATCGTGCTCATGGTCAGAACTGAGCTAGAAAGTGGTAGTTCTGAGTCTGACTTTATGACTCCTTCTTTCTATAACCTTACAAGCAATTACAATTTCTGGATAACAGACCTGAGGCAATGGAGGCCTTCCATCTTTGAACCAGGGAACTGTCTATACACCAAGCCAAATGAAGTATAAGTAATTGGCACATGAGGCAAACATATGGGTTGTCGTGGCTTTTAATCATGTCACCTGGTTCATTTTTCCATTCAACTTCCCTTTCCATCCATATTGCTCTGTGCCACCCCTTCTTCCCATGCCTCAAAGGCTAGTGAGGGCCACCAGGAGGCTGGTGCAGTCCCGGCTATGCCAGGAGGGAGGAGAGCCTGCACAGAGGTTACCAGGAGAGCCTGAGTGATATGCCTGTAAATTGGGAAAGATGGCATTTTTTACCATTCCCTGTCAACTATCCAGCTGCTCAATGGATGTGTAGCACGAACTTTATCTGTACTTGCAATGCAAGTATACTATCGGTTGTACTAGGAACAGATGCAATTACCTCTAAAACATTGTGAAGAAAAACCCACTACATGGCTCAAAGGCTTCCTGACAAGTATATCATATAGTTAATTATACTGAGTACGGCTGAATACAAGGGATGCGGGAAGCTACCGTTCCATGGATGTTGAAGTTCTTGTTTCTTGGTGCAAAGACATTCTGGAAGGCCTTCTGGTACTGAGGTGCAGCTGTCCAAGGTGAATGAGGCGCTGGAGTGGCGATCATCATGAAGAAGGGCTCAAAGTTGGACTTGTAGTCCAGAAAGTCCAAGGAGACATTAGCCTGACACATAAAAAGATTTGTCATCTCCTACCTTACCCAATAGATGAGTATTTAATAGATAAATGTCTTCTGGTGAGCAGACAGCACAGGGTCTTACTAGCTTTTAAGCAATCTTAGCACATGATCTCATGTCATAGCCATTTGCAAGCATATTGTTGGAACAAATATATTTGGTTTTTAGGCAATACTTTAAAAGACTGAGAAGCATACCAACATAAGAAGGCAATGAAGATCTTGATGATTTTATATGACCTAGAAATCATGTCTCCCACAAAGAAGGAAACAGTAATGTGGCAATTTTAGTATTAACTTACACTAATGGAGATTATGGTATCTACATGTGATGCCTTAAAGAATGTAAAAAGAGAGTCAGCTTAAAACAGTGGGAAAGGTAGATTAAGTTACCTTAAACTTATGAAAATATGCAAAAAGTAGATGTCATAAATTATGCACTGAAGTAGTGAATAACATTAGATTCAAATACATCCCACTAGAGCTTTAATACATGGACTTACATTTTTCCTTTGCTTATCAGAAGATACTTTATGAAAATGAAAGCATGCTACATATATATTGTTTTTCATTGTTCTGAAGTAATTTCATTTATTCCCAACAATAACTCAAAAGATACTGACTGTATCTATCTCCTATAACCCCTCCATCTACCTTTCACTCCAGTCCCATCAGCTTCCTTGTGGTTTCTCAAATACGCCAGGTACACTCCTGCCTCAGGGCCCTCCCACTTACTGTTCCCTGACTCTGTAGCACTATTCCCCGGATCTGCACAGCTCATTCTCGCCTACTTCGAGTTTCTGCTTAAATGTTATCTAAGTAACCTCATACCCTAACTAATTTCTCTAACTGATCACCAGTTAATGACACAACACATAAGACTGTGTGTGTGTTTAAGTAAAATTACCTTCCACAGAATCAGGGACTTTGCTTCATTTACTGCTGAATACTGGCTACACTAGGTGCTGAACTATTGAGTGAATGAATATATAATACTATGGAAGACTGTCGTTAGAAATGCCTCAGAATAGGAAAGTCCCAATTTAACCTGCTTTCAGTAATTTTTATATATAAATACCCAATGCCCAAATAAATCCAGTATCCCTATCCCTCCATCCTCATAATGGGGGCCTGTGAAGCTGCCATCTTGTAGCTTGTGAGTAAAACTGGGGTCAAGAGTAGGTACCCTTACAAAGTAAAACCTCTACAAAGTAATCTCTATAGTCGACAAGATTAACCTTTGGAAAAGGGATTTGTTGCTGGAATTTCAAGAGCATTAGAGCTGAGCCTGGCTTATACACAAAGAAAACACCCTCAGGAGTTTGTAATCAGCTGGAAATACTCTTGGGCAGTTAGACCAAGTTACTGTGCATTTATATTACCCAACACAAACAAGTAAGATTACAGGTTTTCTAGGCAGAGTCTTCAATCAAATGTGAGCCAACCCTGTAAGGACAGAGCTACAGGGCTTCTGCAACTCACCAAAACATCTGTCAGGTAGTCCACGCTATAGTTTTCACCATGCTTCCGTGCCTTCCCATTGATAGACAGGGTGTAATTATAATACTTAGAATTCTTTTCCTATTAAAAAGAGGAAAGTCAAATTTGTTATGAGGTCAGTGCACAAAGTAGAAGTCTGAATCCATGCTGGGCTAAACTATACTCTGAGCAGTGATAAGACATTAAAAAGATAATTACTCAAGTCAATACTGAATTGGAGTTTTTGACTAGGGTTTTATTAAAGACAAGCACAGTTTCAATTGTACATTCTAGTTAAAAAGCCAGAAGTAGATCAGGTAGAAAAGCAAACTACTTTGCTAAACCATGTACAATGCAGGAAAAACATCCCAGAAAGGACTGACTCACAAGTCAATAGACCTTTTTTTTTTTTTTTTTTTAAATATGAGACTGGGTCTCTCTCTGATGCCCAGACTGGAATGCAGTGGCACAATCATAGCTCACTGCGGCCTCAAATTCCTGGGCTCATGTGATCATCTTGCCTCAGCTTCCCGAGCAGCTAGGACTACAGGCACATGCCACCACACCCAGCTAATTTTAAAATTTTTTGTTGAGATGGGGTCTCGCCATTTTGCCCAGGCTGGTCTCGAACTCCTGAACTCAAGAGATCCTCCTGTCTCTGCCTCCCAAAGTGTTGGGATTCTAGGCATGAGCCACTACACGTGGCCACAAGTCAATAAATTTTAAGGTTTTAAAATGACTAATTGTAATAGCAAATAAAGTTATGTCAATATCAGAGCTAAATTAAACATATTCTGCATCTGTAGGGCTGCATATAATTGTCACTGACTTCAGTAATCACTCACCAAGGCATACCAGTAACTCCAACCCAGAGGAACGTGTTCTAGTCCACCTGCATCTGGGGCTCCGTACTGAAAAGCAAGACAAGTAGGGACAGTTACAAGTCCTTAGATATGACCAGACCAGAAAGAAACAGGAAATTTTAGAATCTTTTTTTTTTTTTTGAGACGGAGTCTCGCGCTGTGTCACCCAGGCTGGAGTGCAGTGGCGTGATCTCGGCTCACTGCAAGCTCCGCCTCCCGGGTTTACGCCATTCTCCTGCCTCAGCCTCCGAGTAGTTGGGACTACAGGCGCCCGCCACCTCGCCCGGCTAGTTTTTTGTATTTTTAGTAGAGACGGGGTTTCACCGTGTTAGCCAGGATGGTCTCGATCTCCTGACCTCGTGATCCACCCGCCTCGGCCTCCCAAAGTGCTGGGATTACAGGCTTGAGCCACCGCGCCCGGCCTTAGAATCTTTTTAGACCAGTGCCTGAAACAGACACTAGTCAAAAATAAACTCTAATAATCCTAGGAACTTCTAAAGCCAGAGTTGGCAAACTACAGCCAGTGAGCCAAATCTGGCCTGATGACTTCTGTATGAACAGCAAGCTAAGAATTTGTTTTAACAATTTTCAAATATAAAAGTTAATCAAAATAAGAATATTTTGTGAAATGTGACAATTATATAAATTCAAATTTTAATAATGATAAAGAGTTTTATTGGAAGACAGCCACATTCCTGTACATAGTGTAGTGTCTGTGGCTGCTTTCACGCTACAGTGGCAGAGCTGAATAGTAGCAACAGAGACATATGACCTGCAAGGCCTGAAATGTTTACTATCTCACCCACTACAGAAAAAGTCCACACAGCCTATCCCACACAGCCTATTCATGGGGTGAATGCTGACCTGCTGATACCATAGACTGAATAGTCCAATTGACCCTAAGTAGTTCAAATAATCAGACTATGAGCTATCGACTTATTATACATTGAACATCCCAAATCTGAAAATCTAAAACTTTTTGAGTGCCAACATGACACTCAAAGGAAATGTTCACTGGAGCACTTCACATTTTCAGATTTGGACTGTTTCAGATTTGGACTGTTCAATATCATGCATATATTTCAAAATCCAAAAAATCTGAAACGCAAAATACTTCTGATCCTAAGCATTTTGGATAAGGGATAATCTGTATTTCAGTTGCCCTGCAGATGAAACCCACTTTTCGAACTTGATTTATCTGATGAGATGAATAAAATAAAGAAACCACAGAATTATCCCCCTTTATCCTTACAAGGTTTAATGCCATCCACTTAAGGCAGAATTTAATCCCTGAAAACAAAATCTTTCTACTTTAACGGGCTCTTAATTTTATATACACATCAGATGTCCTTCAACATGCAAAGCAGTTAAGCTGTCTTTATGACCCATAGCCCCAACCAAATGACCCAGTATCCACAGTTCCTAGTTCTCATGATCCTTTTCAAACTGACTCACCTTCCTGCAGACTCACAAGGTTGCAGATTCCCCCAATTATTGGGGGGAGGGGAGAATTAACAGAAAATCCAGATCAGGTATTAAGATCTCTAGCAACTACAGATAAAGAGTATAAGTACATTTTCTCTTTGTCTTGAACCCCTAGTTTAACTGTAAGAGCTAACCCCAAACATTCTGAAACAAACTATTTCCTTTAAGCTTGGACTCTGGGTAACAGCTAAGGCCAATGTGTGAATGTGGGCACATGGAATCTAGCCTTGACAGGTCACCGGGCGTATCCCTCCATCTAGGTCTACAAGGCTGGTGTACCAGCTGCTGGCCATATACTTTAATGACCTGCAGGACCCTGACTCTGGGTACTTCATCACTAATCTCTCCACATTTTGTTGCCACTTTTCACATTACAAAATGAGTTAAGCATTAAGTTGTTATAATTCAGAAAAGATTCTAAAAATCTGAGGAAAGATTCTAAGATGAAAAAATGTCTTCAGTTAGGTACTGGTAACAGGGAATGGAAACAAAGATACCATGACAGCCACATGACAAACAGAATTCCTGAGGAAAAAGGGATGACGCATCAGACAGCAGCACTCTTAGGACAATTTTTAAATACATGCTCCTGGGACTACTGAAAGGAAGAACAAGTACCCACATCATATAAATACACTGTACTTACCCAAATCATGTAAATATGTACATGTGTACTTATACGAACATATTTACATGATGTGGGTACTTGTTCTTGCTTAACAGGCAGATTCACAGAAAACAGCGTACACCAAGAAATCCTTTAACATTAATTGATACTACTAATAAAATTAACATGAATTATATTCACATTTTAAAAGTCATTATAAAAAAAGAAAGAGATCATTGAACATACCTCATTTAAGTATTTCCCTGCAAAAAAGGTCTGATAACCACACATTGATCTGAGAATTGCTGGGAAAGTATTTGGTTCTTGGATCTTCTGCCAGGACTTGCTACTGCAGTTCCCCTCTAGAGTGTTGTTCACAACATGATGATTATGTGGGTACTTTCCTGTCAGGATACTGGCTCTGCTGGGGCAGCAGAGAGCACTTGGCACATACTACAAAGGAAAGGAAGCAAAAAGGACAAAGTCACACAAGAAAGATGAACTTCTCATCATTGCTAAAGAGGGTAAAGAAAAGCTCCTTAATACTCTAACTTCAAATATGTCGTTTCTCATGGAATATATGTATTTTTTTCTACACATGACATACTTCAGGGCTGCTTTAAGTCACATAGTGGAGACATCAAAGCAGATAAAACAAACTGAGAATACAGATTTCTTTTTCAAGTGGCTTCTTTCTGCAGGATAATAGTAATTCTATTCTCATCCGCCATAGAGGTTTTTTTTTTTTTTTTTTTTTTGAGGCAAGGTCTCACTCTGTCACCCAGGCTGGAGTGCAGTGGCACAAGCACAGCTCACTGCAGCCTCGACTTCCTGGCGCAAGTGATCCTCCCAAACAGCCTGGAGTACAGGCGCTTGCCACCACTCCTGGCTTTTTTTTTCATTTTTTTATTTGTAGAGATAACATTCTTCCTATGTTGTCCAGGCTCATCTAAAACTCCTGGATTCAAGTGATCCCTCCACCCTGGCCTCCTAAAGTGCTGGGATTACAGGTGTGAGCCACTGCACCCAGCCAGAAATAATATTTATACATGAGGAGCACAGCATGGTGAGAGATGGGTCTTAACCAAAGATAGAATACTACCAGGATCTAATTGAGACACAGTGGTTCATTTGCAGGCTGATCTGCAGCTTTACACATTTCCTATATCACTTTAAACACTGGACACAGACTTTTTTCCCTACTGTAATTATATTTCCATTAGCTACTGTCAGCAACAGACTTTCCCCATTCTACCCAATCATATTGGTACACATCACCCAGCCACTTCACAGAAAGGTAATACTAGCTTACACTTGGACCAGCAGAGAAGGAATGAGCATTTGAGCACAGACTCATGCCAAAATTGGGTATTATCCTTTTAATACTAGCAAGCCTTTTTGCCTTTCAAATTCGATTTGGCATTTTAAAATAACAGTGAGGATGAACATTCTCCACAGGTACCGACCAACTGTTTGTGTGTTCATATGCTTTGCTCATTTTTTTCCTCTAGGGCTGTTGGCCTCTTGTTACATAAGATTTAAGTTAAGGAAGAATTCAGTCATGATACAAATACTTCCCATTTTTACTTTTGCCTTTTAATTTTATTAGATGTTTGACTTCTTAAGTTTAAATTGGCAACTCTTAACTCTTTCCCTTTTTGCTTTCTGATCAATTTTATAGCCAGTACACAGTTTATCTTAATATTACATTTTGGCATCTGGTAGAGCAATTTCTTTTTTTTGAGACAGTCTTACTCTGTCACTCAGGATGGAGTACAGTGGTGCGATCTCAGCTCACTGCAACCTCCGCCACCTCAGGGTTAAGCAATCCTCCCACCCCAACTTACCAAAGTAGATGGGACCACAGACAGGCACCACCATGCCTGTATTTTGTTGTTGTTGTTGTTTTGAGACGGAGTCTCACTCTGTTGCCCAGGCTGGAGTGCAGTGGCACAATCTCGGCTCACTGCAACCTCCACCTCCTGGGTTCAAGTAATTCTCCTGCCTCAGCCTCCCGAGTAGCTGGGCTTATAGGTGCCCGCCACCACGCCTGGCTAATTTTTTGTATTTTTAGTAGACATGGGGTTTCACCATGTTGGGCAGGCTGGTCTTGAACTCCTGACCTCAGGTGATCCGCCCGCCTACGCCTCCCAAAGTGCTGAGATTACAGGTTTGAGCCACTGTGCCCGGCCCAATGCCCAGGTATTTTTAAGTATTTTTAGTAGATATAGGATCTTGCCATGTTGCCCAGGCTGGTCTCAAACTCCTGAGCTCAAACAATCCACCTGCCTCAGCCTCCTAACGTGCTGGGATTATACAGCCACTGTAATTTTTTTTAAAAATTACTTTGATTATTCTCATCTATTTATTATTCCAGATAACTTTTGGAATCGTTTGAGTCTAAAACAATCTTGTTAAGATTACAACTAGAATAAACATTTTATTATATAATATTGTGTCTTAGTTGAGCACAGTGGCTCACACCTGTAATCCCATCTATTTGGGAAGCTGAAGCAGAGGATTACTTAAGGCCAGGAGTTTGAGACCAGCCTGAGCAATAGAGCAAGACCCTATCTCTAAAAAAAAGTGGAAAAAAATTAGGCGAGTGTGGTGATGCATGCCTGTAGTCCCAGTTACTTGGGAAGCTGAGGCAGGAGGATTGTCTGAACCCAGGAGTTTGAGTTCAGGTCTTCAGTGAGCTATGCCACTGCACTCCAACATGGGCGACAGAATGAGACCCTGTCTCAAAAAAAAAAAAAAAAAAAGGAAAAGAAATGTATATAAAATGATGTGCATATCTATGTATCAGATATTTTTTATCTTACCACTCACATCATTTTGTAACTTACATAGGTCATAGTCATTTCTGGCCCCAACCAGTTACTCTTAGAGAGTTTATAAATTATAAATGAGGTCGGGCATGGTGGTTCACACCTGTAATCCCAGCACTTTGGGAGGCCGAGATGGGAGGATCACTTGAGCTCAGGGGTTCCAGACCAGCCTGGGCTACATAGTGAGTGAGACCTTTTCTCTACCTTTATATAAAATAAAAATAAACAATTATGAATATTTTCTTTGTCTCCCACCTTCTATTTTTCTAACTGATTACATGGAAGAAAAAAAAATTCATTTTTTCATTTTTATCTTGAATTCTAGTGATTTTAAAGGGTTTTCAATAATTCTCCTGTGTTCCTAGATAGAAAATCCAAACAATCAGAAGTAATTTTTCCAATATTTTTACCTCTTATTTCCATAAGACTTATGACAATGACTAGTCGGAACAACATTAAATGGAGCACTTGTTTCATCTCTAACAGCAATGCCCTGAGTCTTTTACCTTATGTATTTGAAATAGTCATCATAGTCAGGATGTATTCTTATAATAGCTTAATACATTACCAGGAAAGAATGCTAAAATTTCAGAGTATTTTCTAGTATCTATTGGGAAGAACAATAAATTTTCCTTCTTTCAATTACTTGTATCATGTTGGTAGACATATAATAAGCAACACCACGTAGTATATACTATAAGAAGTCAGGCATTGGCCGGGCGCAATGGCTCATGCCTGTAATCCCAGCACTCTGGGAGGCCACGAGGTCAGGAGATCGAGACCATCCTGGCTAACACAGTGAAACCCCATCTCTACTAAAAAAAATACAAAAAGTTGGCCGGGTGTGGTGGCAGGTGCCTGTAGTCCCAGCTACTTGGGAGGCTGAGGCAGGACAGTGGCATGAACCTGGGAGGCGGAGCTTGCAGTGAGCTGAGATCGCGCCATTGCACTCCAGCCTGGGTAACAGGGCGAGACTCTGCTTCAGAAAAAAAAAAGAACTCAGGCATTGGCTAGGGCAAGGTAGCTCATGCCTGTAATCCCAGCATTTTGGAAGGCCAAGGAGGGCAGATCACTTGAGGTCAGGAGTTCAAGACCAGCCTGGCTAACATGGTGAAACCCCGTATCTACTAAAAATACAAAAAATTAGCAGGGCATGGTGGTGGGTGCCTGTAATCTCAGCTACCCAGAGGGCTGAAGCAGGAGAATTGCTTGACCCCGGGAGGCGGAGGTTGCAGTGAGTCGAGATCGCGCCACTGTACTCTAGCCTGGGCGACAAAGCGAGACTCCATCTCAAAAAAAAAAAAAAAAGAAAAAGAAAAAAAAGAAGTCGGGCACTGACAGAAGTGCTCTACACCTATTAACTCAACCTCACAACAACTCTGAAGATGATTTTGGTACTCCCTTTTATAAATGGGGAGGAAACGGGCCAGAGAGGTTAGTTTGTCCAAGGTCACACTGCTAGAAAAGAGGCAGAGAGGGTATTCCAGACTAGGCGGTCCGGCTCCAGAGTCTGAGCACTTAAACTTAACACTGTGCTACTATTCAAGGGATTTCCTGATAGTAAGCTACCCTTACATTCCTAGACTACCATTCACTTGGTTATGTACATGGTTCTTGAAAATGAATTGATACTTTATTTTGAATTTCTGCATCTATATTTATGGGGTGTGTGTGTTGCTATTTGTCAGTTTTGGCTATCAGGGTTAATTGGGTTTTACCATGGAAAAGTTCACACAGCATACATATATCTTGATTTTTTTATAATCCATTTTCAAACCTCAAATGGTGAGGTTTAAAATAAAATTCTCTAGTTCTGAGACTGGCTTAGAAATATCTGCAATTCATCTTCAATTGATAAGGGGTAATATTTCAACGAAAAGAGTTTATATCACATTAAATAAATCCTTCAAATCAGGCATTTAACAAGGAAAAAACCACATAGATCATACCAGATTCTCGAGAAGAGTGTTTCTTCTTAGAATACAAACAGTTAAATTAACAAAATTGAATTAGCTTTCAAACTTACAGCGCTGGAAAAAGTCATCCCCATCTCTCCGATGAGAGCTTTTGTTTTCTTCAGTGGTGTCTGTAAAAGTACGTAATTATCCATTAAACAATTTATTCCAATAAATTGAGACACACAGGCCAGAATTCCTGTTTGGTTACATCTTACTCAATCTTTTATTCCCAAATGGTCAGCTCTAAGCAACAGCCAAAGACAGTCCTGTATGATTCTAGAGAAAGGTTTGGTTCCAGCCAGCTCCATCCTGCGTAAAAGTGCAGGAGGTCAAAATGCTTGCAGGAAGGGAAAGTTCAGTCAATGGCAATAACATCTTTGTGCCCTTATTAGTCATCTGCCCCCATATAAGGCAGAGAGGGCAGACCTATTTCCATGAATTAATCTTTAGAAGTAGGATGTGGGAAATGATATACAAAGGGAACCTTCCGCCCTATAGAACAGAAGTAAGACAACAGTTGGATTCTGAAAGCCAGACGAGGCCCCAGGGCTGAGACTGATTCACACCTCACACACTCAGTGGTGGAGGTCAGATGCACACTGTTCAACTACCAGCTACTGTTGTCTGCATAGACCCACCAGCACCTCAGGATAAGGACTTGAACCAGGTGGTAAGCAGGTGTACACAGAACACTGTCAGGCAAAAGGCTACTCAGAAACTACTTTATGTCCTGCTTTTCATCTTTTGTTCAAAATCTAAGATCCTTACAAGTACAGAGACAATTAAGTTCCCCCTAGAGTGAGGACAAACATATGAAGACAGTCATTTAAATACGAATAAAAGGAATACTAATATTCTTCAGATTCCAGACAAAAAAAGCGCTATTGTAAGAGGTCATTTTAGTTGTAATATGAGTCAGTTCATGATGATTCTGAGATACCTTTGAAACCTAAGACCATACTGAATGCAGTTTTAAGTATATTTTGTTGTGAAATAATTCCTTAAAGATCCCTAATCTAAGGCCGGGCACGGTGGCTCAAGCCTGTAATCCCAGCACTTTGGGAGGCTGAGATGGGCGGATCACGAGGTCAGGAGATCTAGACCATCCTGGCTAACATGGTGAAACCCCGTCTCTACTAAAAAATACAAAAACCTAGCTGGGCGAGGTGGCGGGCGCCTGTAGTCCCAGCGACTTGGGAGGCTGAGGCAGGAGAATGGCGTGAACCCGGGAGGCGGAGCTTGCAGTGAGCTGAGATCTGGCCACTGCACTCCAGTCTGGGCGACAAAGCGAGACTCTGTCTCAACAACAACAACAAAAAAAAACAAGATCATTAATCTAAATATGTAAGTAGGTTAACAGGAGCCTCATTTTTAATAATGTATAAATGACTTTTCCCCATTGTTTTATATAAATACAAAACCTATGGAATCCATAAACTCAAAAGGATGAGGATTCTAACTTATCCAAAAAAAGCTCTGATAATTTCATGAGTAGATTCAGAAGAGGCTGCCAAGAGACGCCAGAGATGCAGAAGATCTTCGCCAACCTTCCGAAGCAAAGTCATCAACCATACTCTCCTCAAAGCCATCACTGGGTACCATCCTCAGGAAAAGAATACTGGGCTTAATGAGACACTGGCTTGATTAAAAAAAAACCTGAGTTACTATGAGGACATTCGAAGATGAAATGAAGATTCAAAGAGTAAGTGGAGAAAAGGACCAGAGTTGACTGTATAGGACTTAATTGTCAAACTGATAAATATGTAAAACTATGAAAGAATATCTGATTTACGGTAATATTGTGTAATAACATTTATTAAACACAACGTGTGCCAGGCATTAATCTAGGCAGTGGTGGACAGAGGATAGTCCTTGCCCTCATGATCCCTGCACTCTCGGGGACTTAAAACAACTAACAGGTAAACAATCAGTCATTTCAGGTGGTGATAAGTGCTGTGAAGAGAATAAACCAGGATGATGTGATTGCAGCTGGTGGGAGGAAAGGGGAACTACTTTAGATGGGTGGTCAGGAAAGGCCTCTCTTTCAGGAGGTAACTTGTACAGAGAGCCATGCGATGAGGAGTCAGTCACGCAAAGATTCAGAAGATGTTTCAGGCTGGGTATATAGCAATACAAGGGCTGCCAGAGGAAGGAGAGAGGCACCTGGGAGGAAACAGAGAAGCCAGTGTGGTGATGGAAGCAGCTTACTGAGGAGAAGGGAGAGGGAGGTAAGATGAGGTCAGAGAGGTAGGCAGGAGTCAGTGATGCAGGGCCATATAGGAATTTAGACTTTAGGCCCAGTGCAGTGGCTCACGCCTGTTATCCCAGGACTTTAGAAGGCAGAGGCAGGAGGACTGCTTGAGACCAGGAGTTTGAGACCAGCCTGGGCAACATAGCAAGACCCTGGCTCTACAACAAATACAAAAATTAGCTGGGCATGGTAGTGCGTGCCCGTAGTCCCAGTTACTTGGGAGGCTGAGGTGGGAGGATTGCTTGTGCCCGGAAGTTTGAGGTTATAGTGAGCTGTGACTGTACCACTGCAATCTAGCCTAGGCAAGAAGAGTGAGACTTTGTCTCAAAAAAAAGTTATTAACTGTCATCTTTATACTGCTAACAATAGTACAAAAGATAATAATCATCTGTGCTTAATTGAAAAAGTCCCAAACAAGAAACCATACTGTACCCAAAATGTGTATGTGTCTCTATGCAAACTAGAAGGAAAAATGAATCCTTAAGATCTAGGCAAAGACAGCGGCTGATCAAGTTAAGGTCACGCAAGAGTCTTTAAGCAGTAGCCAATTTCATGTCCTCATGTGGGCAAACATGTTTCTCTGCTCACCCCAAGCAGAATCCTTTTCATTAAAACCCTAAAGAATCATTTACTTTCCTGGTTCCATGTATAGTTGTTCTGAAATGACACTTCTGATAATTCTGTGGCTAAAAATGGAAATTGTCTTGCTTTCAATTAAGCAATGACATATTTATTCTTCCCCGGCCTGGCACAGTGGCTCACACCTGTAATCCCACCACTTTGGGAGGCTTAAGTTGGCAGATCACTTGAGGTCAGGAGTTTGAGACCAGCCTGGCCAATGGTGAAACCCCATCTCTACCAGAAATACAAAAATTAGCCGGGCATGCTGGTGGGTGCCTGTAAACCCAGCTACTTCAGAAGCTGAGACAGGGGAATCGCTTGAACGTGGGAGACGGAGGTTGCAGTGGGCTGAGATGGCGCCACTGCACTCCAACCTGGGTGACAGAGCAAGACTCCATCTCAAAAAAAAAAAAAAATTTCTTCCCCTACCTTTTATCATAGTTTCTTCCATCACTTGCCTGAGGTTTTGGCCAAATGTCACTTTTCTTTTTTTTTTTTTTTTTTTTGAGACAGAGTCTCACTCTGTTGCCCAGGCTGGAGTGCAGTGGCACGATCTCGGCTCACTGCAAGCTCCGCCTCCTGGGTTCACGCCATTCTCCTGCCTCAGCCTCCTGAGTAGCTGGGACTACAGGCACCCGCCACCACGCTCGGCTAATTTTTTTGTATTTTTAGTAGAGATGGGGTTTCACCGTGTTGGTCAGGATGGTCTCGATCTCCTGACCTCGTGATCTGCCTACCTTGGCCTCCCAAAGTGCTGGGATTACAGGCGTGAGTCACCGCGTCAGGCCAATGTCACTTTTCTTAAATTATTTTTTTTTTCCCGAGATGGAGTCTTGCTCTGTCACCCAGGCTAGAGTGCAGTGGCACAATCTTGGCCCACTGCAACCTCCACCTCCTGGGTTCAAGTGATTCTTCCGCCTCAGCTTCCCGAGTAGCTGGGACTACAGGCACATGCCACCATGCCCGGCTAATTTTTGTATTTTTAGTAGAGACGGGGTTTCACCATGCTGGCCAGGCTGGTCTTGAACTCCTGACCTCGTGATCTGCCCACCTCGGCCTCCCAAAGTGCTAGGATTATAGAGGTGAGCCACTGCGCCCAGCCGTGAATGATTTTTAAAAGAGCAACTTATGCTTCTGTGAAGAACAGTGTGTCCACCACACTACAATGATGTTTAAGTAAAATCAAGAAAGTGGTAAGAACAGTGTCCTGGCAAAATAAAAAATAAAAACAGAGTCCCACAGATACGTGGAACAAATACAATGAAATGTTAAAGATGATGCTACTATATAAAAGAACATTTCAAAGATGCCTGAAACATTCCACTATAAATCTAAATCATGTTGTAAGCACTATCTACAATCCTTTGACCTGAGTTAGTCTGGTAGGGGTTGACCACTGTTTATTTTGCCAACTATGGCAGCAATCTGCAATCTTTTTTAGGTTAGAGCTCTCTTTCCCCAAAAATGAAGATATTATATACAAAGTTTTACATGTAAATTAAGGAGTTCCATGATGTCACTGGCATCCCCGAATGTCACCTGCAGACTCACTGACCTATGATGTGATTATGCTGGTGTGGGTATGTGGAATGAAATCTGATTATCATCACAGTATTCTAGAACAGGAGAAAAAGCATGGTACTCTGAGATCATAAGATACCCAGGCTTTGTCCAGTATTAGCTATGTGAACCTTAGTCATGTCACTTAACCACCTTCCAGTTTTAGTTTCCTTTTAAGATAAGGATACTATGTACAGTAGAGGACTCCCGTGATGACTGAAGCACAAGTATAAAAATCCTCATGCTCTGCTCAGCTCCAAGTAAGTTCTCAAATGCTCTTGTCTTAGCTCTTCCCCTTGGAGTCCTGTTTGGCAATTAGTGGTAGAATATCCTGAAAAAGGCTAGAAGAGAATCCAGAATTCTTGAGTTGGGAACATTAAATCTGACTTATCTCCTCTACTCAACTTTGGTACCTCTCTCCAGTAGAAACACTTATTTAAAAAAAGAATCTCGGCCGAGACAATGGCTTATGCCTGTAATCCCAGCACTTTGGGAGGCTGAGGTGGGGGGATTACTTGAGTCCAGGAGTTCAAGACCGGCTTGGGCAACCTGGAGAAATCCTGTCTCTACAAAATATTAAAAAATTAGCTGGACGTGGTGATGTGTGCCTGTAGTTCCAGCTACTAGGGAGACTGAGGCAGGAAGACTGCTTGAGACTAGGAGTTCAAGGCTGCAATGATCCTTGATTATACCACTGCACTCCAGCCTGGATAACAGAGCAAGACCCTGACTCAAAAAATCTGCTGCTGGCTTAACGAAGCAAATTGGATTAACATACTAAAAGGAAGAGACCTCAAATACACACAGACTACAGCCGTGGTTTATAAGAATTGAAGAAACTGAACTCTGAATACCTCATATTTAAGTAAAGAATTTTGTTTTCAACACCTAAAAAACCCTGACCTTTTAACTGAGTACTGTAGTCACTGCTAGAGAAGGCTTGCTTTTTCTGGACAAAACACTCTTCAAGGACACAATTTTTTTTTTGTTTAAATAAAAAAGGAATGTTGTGAGCAGACAAGTAAGTGCAGTAGTTGGAAGAGTAGTGAAACTAAAGTGTAGGAGGAAAATTAAATCAAGATTGATGTCAACATGGCTTGGTAGAAACTAACAGACAATGAAGCATATATGGCAGGAAGAAGTGTGTAATCAAAATGCAAGCATCTTAAACATCAGCTATAAAAGACTCAAGCTCTTGAGCACAACCTAAGAAATATATTTTACAACTCGGGAAGAAAGATAGATAATGATTACCTTTAGCAAGTGTAACACACACACTCACACACGGCCATTTTCTATTCTACTCTATTCCAGAGGAAATAAAAAACGTTGATAGTCACTAAACTGATTTCACAACTCACTCACGGGTTGGGACCAGGGGCTTGAAGAACACTGAGCGAGGGTGTGTAATTACACAAGAAAAGTTAGGAACATCTTGCCTGGAGTATTTCATAGTCTCAGCATTCAGCTGAAAGCAAAAAGAGAACTGAAACGAATAAAGCAATAAAACATTTGGTTTTAAAGCGAAGAGAGGAATGCTGAACCCAGGGTTAGAGGACTCTGCCTCAACTACTCATGTCTTGGGCAAGTTGCTTTCTGGACCTCCATGGGGCAGGGGTTGGAGTGGATGTTTCCAAAGGTCACAGATTCCAGAATTCTGCAATACACAAGCAAAATTAACTCGGGGGAAAAAAAAAAAGAAGTCTTGTGACAACACCCATTAGATAGAAAATGAAACACTGACAGTCTCTAATGCAACAGTCAGGTGTTCAATCAGACTAATTGAATTTTCTTGATTCTTGTGAGGCAAAACACACCCTCAATAGTTCGACGGTCGGCCTACCAGATTAGTTCACTTCAGGCTTTTTTTTTTTTTTTTTAAGACGGAATCTCGCTCTGTAGCCAGGCTGGCGTGCAGTGGCCCAACCTCGGCTCACTGCAACTTCCGCCTCCCGGATTCAAGCGATTCTCCTTCCTCAGCCACCCAAGTAGCTGGGACTACAGGTGCGCGCCACCACGCCCAGCTAATTTTTGTATTTCTAGTAGGGACGGGGTTTCACCATGTTGGCCAGGATGGTCTAGATCTCTTGACCTTGTGATCCGCCCGCCTCGGCCTCCCAAAGAGCTGGGATTACAAGAGTGAGCCACCGCGCCCAGCCCAGTCTTATTTTTATAGACATCAGATACAGACATTGTATACAGGCACAAATGTGGAGGTCGTCTAGGTCCCTCATAAAGGGGACTGGACTTGTCTTTGATCCTCTAATCCAAAAGAAAAACAAGCAGGGTTTGAGTGCTTTTAGCCAGCACCTGATCCTCATTGGTTCAACCCATCCTCCACTGGTCTCCACATGTTTATCTTGAGATATTAACGTAAACTCCACAGCAGTACGGTCCAGACTAGAAGCTGTGTGTGCTGTACGCAAGTGCCTCAATCCAGAAGGGAAATGAGTGTTGCAGTCCCTAACACCGGCATAAAGGGCCTCACGTGGGAAAACCAAACCTACCCAGGGATAAGACAGCCAGTTCGGGGAGGGGGGATGGGCACCGGGAAAGAGAGCAAGAAACCGGGGAGTCAGCCCCAGAGATAGAGGGGCGGGGCAGAAACAGAAGAGTTACCATGCCGCCGAGCACTTCGTCCTGGTCGTCCGTGAGGAGCAGCACCACGTTGGGCCTCCGGGTTCCCGCTGCCACCCCGAAGACCCCCAGGCAGCCGCCCAGCACCAGTAGCAGCAGCGCTGGGCTGCAGGAGGGCAGGTGGCGGGGGCTGCCCTGCCGGAGCCGACCTGGGGCTAGAGGCAGGAGCTGCATGGCGGACAGGCTCCGGGGTGACCCCGGCACGGGACGGAGGGACGCACAGGTAGCTGAAGGGCGAAAGGCCAACCAGCCGAAGGAAGAAAAAGCCTTGCCTTGAAGGCCGGTGGCTGGGGTCAGGCGTTTTCTCCCTAGGCGCGATCACGTGAGCCGGGGACAGGGGGCGGAGCACGCAGAGCGGTCACGTGACGGTCGGCGTGGGCGGGGCCGCGGACAGGCGCAGCCGGGAGGGAGGCACCAGGCAGTGGCGGAAAAGGGGCGGAGAACCGGAAAATAGGGCGGAGAACGGGAAAAAGGTCGAGACCCGTGCATACCTCACGCGCAGGCTCGGGTTGCGTTCTGGTAGGACCTGTTTCTGAGTGCTTGGTGGAAAGATTTAAATTGGGGGAAGAGAAGATGAAAAGCAGGAAAGAGTTGGCAAATACTAAGCAACAGATTAAGGAAGAGACAAGAAGACTGTACTTAACAGATACTATTATCAGCTGGTGAGGAAAGTAGACTCTACCATATTTAATCTCCAAGTCGAGGGGCACTTACTCAAGGCCCAGATGTTTAATCGTTTTTTATTTTCTCTACAACTTGTGAAATAAGTCTTAACATTCTCATTTGGCTCAGCCATTAAATTTGGAACTGGATTCCAGTTCAGCTCTCTTAACTCCAAAGCCTGATTATGTTCTGCTTTCCTCAGCTGACATTGTAGTTTGAAACAATTTAGGGATGTCCTGATCCTAATGGTCCTTGCTGACTTTTTAAACACCCTCTTGGAAGATTTTGGAGGTTGTGCAGATCGAACAAAAATCTTGAAACATGGTCATCCAACTGCATTATTAAGTAATCTTTAGCGGGGAATAGCCCTTGAAACTAGTTCCAGATATTTCTGTGGCCTCTCTGGAACAATTTGACTTTGCCCCTCTCCTGACGTCTATAAAAACAGATCTGATCGGGCGCGGTGACTCACGCCTGTAATCCCAGCACTTTGGGAGGCTGAGGCGGGTGTATCACCTGAGGTCAGGAGTTTGAGACCAGCCTGGCCAACATGGTGAAACCCCGTCTCTACTAAAATACAAAAATTAGCCGGTCATGGTGGGACGCACCTGTAATCCCAGCTACTCGGGAGGCTGAGGCACGGGAATGGCTTGAATCCAGGAGGCGGAGCTTGCAGTGAGCCACTGCACTCAGGCCTCAGGAACAGAGCGAGACTCTGTCTCAAAACAAACAAACAAACAAACAAAAAATCACAGAGATCTTCCTGGCAAGGTGAACTGTCAAGTCATGTCCCCAGACTAATATAACAGGGTATAACCTCCTTGCTGGTAAAAGTATTTTCTCTGAGTTGATCTGTTTGCCAAGAAAAGTCTCTTAAAACTCGTGAAAACTATCCCAGAACTTAAAATATAATAAAAAATAAATAAAAATACAGAAACTCGTGAAAACACTATACTATAAGGTAAAAATAATGATGGAAACACTTTGAAACCTCATGTGTACAAGGATAGGGCTTATGCAAAAAAAAAAAAAAAGAAGAAGAATTACCTTTATTATTTTGTTTTTTTCACCACAGAGGGGTAATGTGCTGAGTCCTAACAAGGTTTGAGGTACGGGTTTGAGGTAGGGGTCGTTAACTCATACAATAGCGTGAAAACCCAATCATCAGGCTTATGAACCACAAAAGGATCTTAATACTGTTTTTTGTTTGTTTGTTTGTTTGTTTTTAAGTAAGCCTACAGAAGGCAAAAGAAGCTTTAAAAAAATTAAGTAGTTTTTCTGCAAGAAACAATTATGCTGGAAATATGGCCAGAGCAGTTCCTAGACAACCAGAATACTTGGTTACAACCTTGGCCTAGGCCAATTTTTCAAGCTAGTTAGAATAATCCTTAGGTAGTCACGTTTCAAGACTTCCAGGAAGACTTTCTTACACAAAAAAAGAACCTATTTCACTGTATTGATGTCCCAAATTGTAAAATTGTTTCTTTTCTTTTTTTTTTTTTTTTAAAGGTTAGATTATAAACTGTTTGAGGCCAGAAATTGTGTAATTAGTTGACCACTTTGTTCAGGATGCTGCTGTCAGAGGCGATTGAACCAGAGCAATTCCATCTTGAATAGGGGCTGGGTAAAATAAGGTTGAGGCCTGCTGTGCTGCATTCCCAGATGGTTATGCATTCTAAGTCACAGGATGAGATAGGAGGTCATAAAGATACAGGATGCAGGTCATAAAGATCTTACTGATTAAACAGGTAGCAGTAAAGAAGTGGGCTAAAACCCACCAAAACCAAGAGGGTGATGAAAGTGACCTCTGCCCGTCCTCACTGCTAAACTCCCACCAGCACCATAATAGTTTATAAATGCCATGGGAATGTCAGGATGGTACCCTCTATGGTCTAAAAAGGGGAGGCATGAATAATCCATCCCTTGTTTAGCATATCATCAAGAAATAACCATAAAAATGGGCAACCAGGAGCCTCAGGCTGCTCTGCCTATGGAGTAGGCATTCTTTTATTCCTCTACTTTCTTAATAAACTTGCTTTCACTTTACTCTATGGTCTTGTCCTGAATTCTTCCTTGCCTGAGATCCAAGAACCCTTTCTTGGTATCTGGATCAGGACCCCTTTCCGGTAACACTGCTACACTAGTGCCGAAGAGACACTGTCCCTCGTTCATGGAATTTGCAGTCTAATGGCAGAGAGATTGACAATCTAATCTTGAATCTTGTATATGATTACAAATAGACATGCTATGAAGGAAAAGTAAAGGGTGCAGTGAGCATTTAAGGTGGTGGGAGGCTCACTTAGTCTAAGGTGCCCTGAGGAATTGATCTTTGAGTGAAATCTGAAGTTTGAGTGGGAGATAATTTGTTAATGGAGTATTGGGTGGAATGTCTCCTAGGCACAGAGTACAGTATATGGAAAGGTCCTGAGCTGGTGCATTGCAATAACTAGAAGAAGCCAGTGTGGTTAGAGCAGAGGCAGAGAGGTGGTGAGGACCCAGATTCTATTTTAAGGACTTGGGTTTCTATAGTAAGGCTAATTGGAAATTACTGAAAGAATATAAGAGAAATATAATCATACATGAACTTTTAGAAGATCCTTTAGACTGCGGCATGAAGAACAGATTGGAAGAGGACAAGTATGGGTAAGGGTAGACCAATTAGGTGGAGAGAAAAGTAGCTAACGGGCAGATTCAAATTTTGTGGGGCCTGAAGTTTATGTGCATTTGGCGAGTGGGGGTTCTTTAAGAAAAAGAATAATAATTTTAGATACAAAAGTAGGTACACAACTGAATATGTATTTAGACTAAAACAAAATACAACGTTACACATTTTTAAAAGTTGAAAAATATAGGCCGGGCGTGGTGGCTCAAGCCTGTAATCCCAGCACTTTGGGAGGCCGAGACGGGCGGATCACGAGGTCAGGAGATCGAGACCATCCTGGCTAACACGGTGAAACCCCGTCTCTACTAAAAAATACAAAAAACTAGCTGGGCGAGGTGGTGGCGCCTGTAGTCCCAGCTACTCGGGAGGCTGAGGCAGGAGAATGGCATGAACCCGGGAGGTGGAGCTTGCAGTGAGCCGAGATCACTGCCACTGCACTCCAGCCTGTGCAACAGAGCGAGACTCTGTCTCAAAAAAAAAAAAAAAAAAGAAAAATATTACAAATAATGCAAAAATTTAAAGTAACATTTTTGTTAAGTAACCGCCAGGCATACTTCTTCATACTTTTTTCCCCTTACATTATATGGCTATATACTCTTTAATCATCTCTTCATTTGATGATAGTTTATCATATTTTCTAAAGAGAATAGAAAGATGATTTAGTTTTTTAACTAGTGTGTTTGATCAGTATTTGCTTTTTATTAGTGATAATTCAGAAAAGTTATTTTTCACCTGCACAGTTCATTATTGGTTTTATATATATATATGTTTAGTATTTTTGTCAAATTTCAGAAAACTCTATCAAATATCCTCTTAACATAGGCATTTCGTGACATTCTGCATTTTATTTTATTTTATTTTTTGAGATGGAGTCTTGCTCTGTCTGCACTCTTGGCTCACTGCAACCTCCACCTCCCAGGTTCAAGTGATTCTCCTGCCTCAGCCTCCTGAGTAGCTGGGATTACAGGCATGCGTCACTATGCCCGTCTAATTTTTGTATTTTTAATAGAGATGGGGTTTCGCCATGTTGGCCAGGCCAGTCTCGAATTCCTGACTTCAAGTGATCCACCAGCCTCGGCCTCCCAAAGTGCTGGGATTATAAGCGTGAGTCACCACACCTGGCCTTTTTTACACAGTTATTAATCTTATGTAGTTTTTGAATTGAAGTCACTCATTTGTCATCAAGGTACTCATTGTAATCATGTATTGTGAGTTTTATGTCATATTCCTCAATGCTAGTGTGAGATCAAATCAGAAAGAAATTTGAATATTTTTCAATGAGTTTATATAATTCACAAATTATCAGTTTAATAGCCTATTTATTACTTTAATTTGCAATTTATCTCTTCCTCTTTCCAGCTTTATTGAGATGTAATTGACAACATTATGTATATTTAAGGTGTACATGTTTTCATATATGTATACAGTGTGAAATGATTATTCTCTTCCTCTTAATGAATTACTGTTCTTCTTATGATTGAAACTTTTTTTTGTTACTCTTTACTTCTCAATGTCAGGATAATTTCTCTTTACTTTCTCATTCATCTTTATCACTTTGGTTTCGTGTCCTATTAATTTTTTTTTTTTTTTCTTTTTTGAGACAGAGTCTTCCTCTGTCACCAGGCTGGAGTGCAGTGGCACAATCTCAGCTCACTACAACCTCCACCTCCCAGGTTCAAGCGATTCTCCTGCCTCAGCCTCCCAAGTAGCTGGGGTTACAGGTGTGCGCCACCACACCCAGCTAATTTTTGTATATTTAGTAGAGACAGGGTTTTGCCATATTGGTCTGGTCTCAAACTCCTGACCTCAGGTGATCCACCCACCTTGGCCTCCCAAAGTGCTGGGATTATAGGCATGAGCCACCATGCCCAGCCTAGCCAAGTTGTTTTTTAAAGACCATGCAGCCCTTTTTCCTAATCATTATAATAGCTGTGTTAACAGATGACTGATTGTAAATGCTGTTTAACCACAGGTTAAAATAACAATCTTGTTTTACTTTGTTGAATAATGTCTCAGATGTTT